AGGTCCTAAAGTCACTATGCATCTATAGGGGAAATCCTATATGCCTGTCCTCAGCACCTACCGCTCATCTTCGCGACAATTGTACTTAATACTGGCCGGTTGTACTTCCACCAATCTCATCCATTATAGCGCAGCAGGTCATGCAAATTGAATTCTAGCTTCAAACGAAGTGGGTCAAAACCTATATCTACTAAGATCTGGCACCCACACTCACAGACTGAGGTGGCAACTGGGAATTGATATACATATCTTTGCTAAAACGAGTTCATATAGTGTCGGGGAGCTTTGATTCTTTGCCCAAAGCATGAACAAAACCATAAATATGCAAAATATAATTCTACATCAGCTAAAGGCTCTGTGTTCTTTTCCTGAGACTAGAAGGGCATGGCATGTAGGTTAAAGATATCTGGAGAGTGTACAGGATTACAAATGCCTCGTTTCTAATATATAGAGTGCATGTAAATAATCTTGTATTTTTTAAGATGAATTTAAGATTTCTTTTATCTGATAAGATGTGTTGTTAGCAGCTGTATCTAATCTGGCCTTCCCCTAATGTCCAAGGGCATTATGGGCGGTGAAGGTATCATCGTCTGGTGAGAGCCAGAGGGGCGTTAACCTATATAATTTAAAGCTCGTATGCACTAGTTTGGCCAGGGGGATTAGACCTCCCTGAAAAGTCACCGACAGGTGGTTATCTCATCAAGTCAGCTCCAATTAACATAAGAAAAAGGGAATCATGGGGAACCAACAGTCACCGATTAGGCGTTGTTCACTATATAGAGGGCGCAAGTAGCTATACGTAGTCCAGTGGGGCTTTAACACACGTTATGGTAATGTAGCCCAGTCACCCTCAACAGCTCATGTTGGCCCACTATCGCCCGTGCAAAACGACGCTCAACTTGTCATAACAAAGGATCAGGTGTTAGAGTGGCGGCTTGTTCAGATATGTCGCGGCACAACCGCGGCGTTTTTTAATGATGACGAAGGTGTAATACGCTTCACATTCCTGTATCCTATCACACAGAGTTCAGTGAATACGCGCAAGTTCTTTGTTGCGCGCACCCGCCGTTCATTTACACGCAAACAATCGCGGTTGCTTTTTTTTTGTGGCGGTTTACCGCGTCACATCTGAACGAGGCTTAGGATTTAGGGTTAAAAGTATGTAGGGTTGGATTTTTGTATTAACTTAGTCACAACAACCGACACTAAACCGACTACAAACCGAAAAAATATTGCATTATCCCAAACGGCATAAATATTGGTCAGTTTGGAGTACGTTTGTAGTAAGTTATGGGTAGACGTGCAGAATTTAAATAATGACATATGTGCTATATTAACCGTTTGCGATTAATCTTAATTTTTTCCGAAGATGTTTCTATAGAAATACATTCTTCAATCCTTTCATGTAAAGGCTAGAAGCACTCTCTGTTTTGTCAGTAAAATAATTATATCAAAAATACATTTGTGATTTTGTGTAACTCGTATGACGTCATATATCATGATAATAACATTCATATAGTTTTCATCCTGAATCCGATATTTCTGAAACTTTCATTATTTCATTATTAGATTATTATGTAGTTTGTGTATATCATATGACTGTTTTGTAATGGCGACCCCACAACATGCCTCGTGCCTTTTTGGAATCTCGCCTCAATAACATTGTAAATATATATTTCATGATTTGTTCGTTTTATTATTGGTGAAGATCTTTTTGTTGTTGATTGGAATGAATTAAAATGAAATGAAACTGGCATTCAAAGAATGAGAAAACTCGCACCTGGTTCTTCATCTTTACCGGAACTCAGCTTCCTCTTTAACTCGATCCGTAGCACACAAGTGCTACCAATTGGCAACGTGAGGGTCATTGCACATTGCACTTTAAATTCTTACGTTGTGTTTATCAGAGCATTTCCTGTCATTTAGCCAACATATCAAGCGTGCACGTGATGATAGAAATCTCTCAATCTTCACAAAACATTAACCTACTTTTGAAAATTGATGCCACGCAGCGTTGCAATTTTCCGGACACCTTGTGAAACGTCAACGTAGCTGCTGTACCCTGCAATAGTTTTATTTCATTTTTAATAATTTTCAGGAGGAGAAAATTAACTTTGAACGATTTGATGACCGAGTGACGAATGAGCTCTTTAATTGCTCAATTACAAGGACTTCTCATTTAAACCGATTGCATATTGATTATTTTGCATTAGAGCTGCGATGAATTTTAAAGATTTAGGGCAGGGGACTAAAAGAATTATACAAACTACCGCAAGAATGATGAACGTTTAGCCAACATAGATAGATTATGAATAAATAAATAAATAAATGAATGAATAAACACATTGATCAAAATAGATATAGCGTAAATTAATAAATGAACTCAATATACAAATAAAGAAAAAAGAAAGAAATGGCTGGCAATATATTGGTACGGGTTAAACAGGTTAAAGAGAAGGTTGAGTTCTGGGAAGAGGTGAAAAATAATTTGTGAGCGTTCATCATTCTTATTATGCAAGTGTGGAAGAACATCAAATAAGACATGTTCCCTGAATAGCATGTCTCGAGTGATTATCAAATAATCAAGCATTGTCACACCCACTTACTAATTGATATACTATTTCAAATTTAAGGTGAAACTATTCTTACGATAATCTGTAGTTTGATGGGATCATTATCTGGCCATCGCATTCGTTATGTAATTATGAGGTGGATGACATGGGTATTCGTTCAGAGGTAAATCTTTGGAAGAGAGGGTATTAAGGACTAGATTAAAGGATTAACGACTAGACTATAGATCAATACAATCATTCATGCATCGACATACTCTGAACGACGTGATAAATCAATTAATAATCCATATCTTAGCTGTCAGTGCGAGTCTATAAGCTTTTGGGGAGCTTAACGGTTAAAACACGAGAGTGTTCGATTTATTACAAAAAAAGTAATTCTTCGCTGTAAGCCTATGCAATAGAACAGGAAGTTTAGCATATACCAGTATCGCAGGTAGATATGAAATGAGCATCATTTGTAGACGAACATAATTAAATGTAATATATGAGGTAAAAAAAAACCCTAAAAAGGAAAAGTACTCCACTTAGAATTCTCATCTAGGACTATATGAAATACATTTAGTGACAGTGTTTAAATAAAAAAAGGGCGTTAACTAATTTTTTAACAGCGTGAGTGCAGTGCTGGTTCCAAGCAGATGGATTCAAAGGCCCACTCTTGCTACTACTTGTAGGTACTTGCTCCCTCTATATAGAAAACAATGCCTAATCGGTGACCATTGGTCCCCCATGATCCTCTTTTTCTTATGTTAATTGAGAGCTGAGTTGATGAGAATAAACCACCTGCCAGTGACCTCCTAGCCAAACTAGTACAGATGGGCTTTAACAAACTCTGTCAATAAATATAAAGGGCGTTTCCTCTCTAACAGTAGGTTGAAGTGCTGGTCTTAAATCCCATGCTTTCAGACATAAGTGTCAGGGCATCTTTTCACGAAACTGTCGTAAGTACAACTTCGCTGACGTCACATTGGAACGCATATTAATTGCAATATACACGTTTCAATGGGATGTCTCCGAACTTGTACTTGTGACGGTTACGTGAAACGATGCCCATAGCTCCTCCTCATTAGTCACGATTAGACTATGACGATAGCAATCGTTACTTTACGCGCGTTGATTAATTTCACGGGTGAACGATCGATGAGGGCGTTTAGTCACATGACCTTGGGCTGTATTTATCTTTCTGCGACCATGCTGAAAATTTAATTCGTCTACGTGCTTGGGGATAGTAAAAAAAAGAGAAATGAGGAAAAGATCATGGGAAATGCATGGGAGGGGTCAAGGAATGTAAAAAGAAAATGATGAGACGCCCCCTTCCCCCCTCCCCCTCCCATCCGATGCCGGTGACCCCTCAATGGCCGATTCAATGCTGTGCCACTCTTAGTATTTTGTTAATTTTAAAGGGACAATTTAGTTAAGGCTCCGATTTGAGGCGTCATGGTTTCCGTTCAAAATGATATGGTAATCAGAATATTTGCAAATGCCGTATTAAACGTGTATTAGAATGAAAAATAATGGCGTATTTTTTCACGTAAAGTCCCTCCTACGAATATGTTTTTAAGAAATTTTGAAATTAAAAAAAATACATTTAAAGGTTCGGAGTTATTCCTAGCGGTGACGTCATTTCTTTTTCTGAAATTTCTAAGAAAAAGGTTCTCACTCTCTAATAATAGCATTTTAAAGATCCTGCGTAACTAAAGTACTCGCGCCATGAATGTGTGATGACTTGAATCTATAAAGTATAATCAATTTTCTAGAAACATTATTTGTTTCCGCCCATGATCAGATGAACTTTGGATGGAGGAAGTGACTCACCCAATCATAAGCAACACATTTATTTATTAGCACCTGCCTGCGTGAAATGTTGGCAAACTCGATGTTATGGTTGTCATAGCAACACTTGAAATCAGTCAAAGCAGCAATACAAAAATGTTTCATCATGTTGCTACATTTTAATCATGATAAAACTGTTACGACTGAAACAAAATAAATCTTCACAAACATTACCAGCAACACACGTAGAATATTGTGGATTGCTATAATAATATACTTATATATAATTTAAGTAATTTAAGTAGTAGGAATTTATGTTCTAGATGATATGTCCCCGGAATACGGATCACAGGGTACGGAGTAAGAGTCTACCACGGCACTAATGCCATTGGAAAGTCATTCATCTGCTTGTGCCACACTCGACCCAGGTGAAGTTAAATGGGTAGGCCCTTGCCTGCCTAGCAGAGGTTGAAAATCTAGTGGAGTAACAGAAGTGTCAAGTGGGGAAAATATGACCCACTATTGTTTGTTATACTTAGTAGGAGTAGTAGTAGAAGTAGTAAATGTAGCAGCAGCAGCAGCAGTTCCATCATCATCATCATCATCTTAATCATCCGTGTTGTTATTAGTATTATTTTCAATTTTGTCTGTTTTCTGCAGGAGGAGCACAACCCGTTTACCCATGGCTTCAACGTAATAATGGAAACTCCAGGACAAATTTTTTTGTAAGTATATCGATATATTTTTTTTTTTTTTTACGGCAAAGCATATCAGTAATTTTTATTGTTGCATATTCGTAGAGCAATGCGGGTTAATTTGGCGCAAACAAACGTATGCTATATCTTCCTCTCTATCTCTTATTATGTTTAAATAAACTCATAAAACAAGAAATAATAACATATTCATAATCACTTGAGATCTCAGTACACTAAGCATCATTTTATGTGGCATAATATAATCATAATAATAAAACAATTTGGTAAACATATACGTCTCAGTTTTATCTCTTTCTTAGTATCCATGGTTATTCAGAGAGGCAAGAATAGTTATAGCATAGAGGGCTGATTAATTCTAGTTAGTGACGAGGAGTTCGGATAATCCGATGTTTAAACCCACTCAAGTTTAAATTCTAATCTCTGAATTTTGATCCAATCATGACGGTATCAAATTAAGTCCAATGTGATACCACTTGATGTATTCAAGATTTAATGTTGCAAGGTTTTCTGATTTCAAAGCGATTTTATGAGCAGCGTGATCAGAATAAAATTATGCATTATTGATGAGATAATTAACGAGCTACTGGTAGATTTAGTGGGTTTTAAGCGATTACATGTCTAGACAATATTAAATTCATTAAATAATGCAAGGAATGATGACATTATGTGACGATTGAGAGTAATATCTCCAGACTGTTTTCCATAAAAAAATTAAAAACCTTGTACAGCGTCATTCCCATATCGTTATTAATAAGACTTTATTCAATAATAAAAATAACAATGATTACAATAATATTATTATTGTTTTATTATCATTATTTTTATAACTATTATCATAATAATTACTTTTATAATAATAGTAATGATAATGATATATTAATTTTTAAAATGATAATAATAGTAACATACTAGAGCCATTTTATAACAATAATTATAATGATAATAATAACAATATCAATAAAAACAATATTTATGATAACATTAATGGCTTGTAATTTGGCGCCGTATCTGTCAAACTCGACTATTCTAGCGCTCCACATGTATTATCCCAGCTTTAGCATGGCTGCCATTATGGCGATCTAGCATTTCAAGGGATCAAGTCCTGTGAGGTACCCATTTACCTCACCTAGGTCCCCATTTACCTCACCTAGGTCGACTGTCGCAAATGTAGACTAATGACTTACCAAAAGACATTAGTGCCGCGGCGGGACTCGAACCTCGAACCACCTGATCCACAGTCCAGTGACGTATCCTCTAGAATCTAGACCACGGCATCTCCATATCTTCCATATGCTACCATTAATATGTGGCATACTTCTTGAATTTGATTTGTAACCTGTAGCAAATGTTCCGCACCTACAGGAAGTATCTGATAAACCTAGAAGTTGCTAGTAACTTCTTGGATAAACTAACCCAAACTATTAATTCCTTTACAAATCAATAGCATGAAAAGAGAAAAATAAAATAAAGGTTTCATATTAGCATGTAATAGCTCCTCTCACATTTTTCATGTGAAGAACGTAGTATAAGAGCCCTACACTACAACGATAACTCTTACATTGTATGTGATTTACTCTTTAATGATATTAAAGATAAACTTTAGTTCTGGTTAAAAAAAAAGAAAATGAATTCTCACAGAATCTAACGAAACTTACACTGAATGTTCAAGATTACAAATAAATGTCATGTGCCAAACAATTTTGGAAGAAAATATATACTGGCTGAGTAATGAGCATAGAAAGATAAGGAGATCAGGGTAGTACTAGCCCCGACACCATGTGTGTTGTCCCATATACATCTTTCTGTGTAAGTGATTGTTACTTTACCAAGACTCTGCCAAATTTATGATGATTTTGATGACTCCAGAACCTTGAATTACACACCATTACTTACATGCTCTATGATCAACTTTTCTGATCCGTTCCACACCTTTTCTTTCACAATGCAATCGCATTACCAGAACTCAAGTTTATCTTTAAATTGAAAGAAAATTTGGAGAATAACATCCAGCCACATATGAACGCACTCCACACCCACCCTCCCCGTCGCCCACACACACCTCTCATCGTGTAAGAAGCGACTGGAATGGAAACTTAATCATTTCGATGTGTATCTATTTACTCTTTACTCATTACTTAGAAATGTGATAGCTTACATGCGCCATCAAATGATGAGAACACTTTATTGGTGAGTTTATAGAAGTGGCGGTTACCCTACCTCTCATCTCGCTCACGATACTATCACCGCATCTTAACTCTTGAAGAAGGGGTGACAGTCTTCAAAGAGTGAAGGTGGATCGTATTCGAACTTCGAGTGCCCATGTATTTGCATAACATTTATATGCAGTGCAAACTTAAGATGCTGAATGGTACAACATTATCAAGCATTACCACAGTTAAGAGTTAAGCAAACCAATGCCAGTGGCAGTAAAAGCAATCCGCTGGAGATAGCTCAATAACATCCCACTTACGATTTTACAATATAGAAGTATTTATTATACAGTGGCCCTATGTAGTATGTGTAAGCCTGCAGAAATTCGTGAGGAAGAATATAAATGAGAGAGAGAGAGAAAGAGAGAGAGAGAGAGAGAGAGAGATAGAAAGAGAATCTTAGCCTCCAGAAATTCGTCAGGAATAATATAAATGATAGGAAGGAGAGACCGCGAGAAAGAAAGGGAAAAGAGAAAAAGAGGAGGGGAGGAAGAAAATGAGAAAGAGAGAGAGAGAGAGAGAGTGAGAGTAAGCCTCCAGACATTCGTCAGGAATAATACAAAATGAAAGGAGGAAGAAAAAGAGCGCGACTGAGATAGGAAAAAAGAGAGAGATGAAGAGAGAGGAGCCGAGATGGATACAGGGGAGAGAAGACAGAGGGGGAGAGGAGAGGGGAGGTATATGCTCTTTAAATGTCAAGCCATAATGAATTGCTGGACAATGATAATGGACTAATGAAAGATGACACATACTATGTTGATTGATTTACATTTGCCACATTCAACCCAGGTGATGTTAATGGGTGCCTGACAGGAATTAATTCCTTTAAATGCTAGAGCGCCGTAATGGCAGCACAGCTAAAGCCGGGGTAAAAATCTCCACGTTTGAAAGCGCTTAGAGACTCAATCATAATTCGCGCTATATAAGCTGAATATTATTATTATTATTATTTGCGAAGCAATTGAGAAAGGCCCGAGTGTCACCCTAAATTTAAGACCAGTCAAAAATAGGATATAATGTACTTATAGGACTTATCCCAATTTCGGTTCGTTACTTTTAGAAATCACATTAAGGCAAAGAAATGAATGTGGAATACGATTCATAAGGCGGTGTCAGACAGAGGCCAATTATCTAGATAATAGTTATCTAGATAATTCGTAGTCTGTCACCTGTCTGTTATATACATAAGTGAATTATCTAGATAACTATTATCTAGATAGTTTAAGTTGGATCGGGAAAAATTGTGTCTGACACCGCCTATAGTGAAAAGAACATTTTAATATCTGTTTAAGTATTATTTTCTTCAACAATTTAGAAGTCAAATATATCGGTGTGTTGGCTCAGTCAGTAGAGCATCCGCCTCATGCACAACCGGGGGGTCGTGGGTTCGAACGCCGGCCGAGTCATACCAAAAGACGTTAACAGATGGGAGTTGCTGCTACCTTGTTTGGCGTTCAACAATAAGGGATAGGGCAACGTCGATCTGGCGCTGCTCAGTGGCTGCCGGGCTCACGATCAATTGGGCAAAAAGAATGTCAATTTTCGGTGTAACTTAATAAAATTTGGAGTGAACTTTAAATTATTATTATTATTATTATTATTATTATTATGATATTTATCATCATTTTAAGATTTCCCTTTTAGTTAACAGGGATTTTAATGATTTTTGGTCTAAAGTCAAGAAGCGGTTTGAAGAGTTACGTAAACCAGGCAGTAAGCTATTATCATATAATGATCATTATGTGAACATAATCCGTGTTCTGTGTATATGAGCATCATGATAATTATACAAGTATGCTAAAAAGGTAATTAAAATGATTTCCATGATTCATAACATATTAAATATAAACGTTTCACACGGCTTTGAACGGGACCCATGGCTTATATTGAATGTAAAGTGATAAAATATTTGTCGACAGCTCAGTGATTAGACTTTAGTTTGGTTAGATAACTCCTTTCAAACGCCCAGGAATACAGGCAGGAGTCGGATCCAATTTCAAGACCAACTGACATCTTTTATCCCGAGGCAGTATTCTACTTAAAATAACAACCACTAAAACGTCCTGAAAACAATTTCTGACGGTTCTTCCACCAGAATCAATATCTCATCTCTCTGCGCCCCTAAGCATTACTCCTATACTGCGGCTATTGTTGTTCTCTTCAACGCGGATGTCCCATCGTTACTATGCAATTCCGTATTCATATACAGATCAACCGCCCCCACCGATTTTTTTTTTTTAAATTTTTTGTTTTAAAGATAGTTTTCTATCCTACACCTGGGGGGGGGGGTCCAGAATTCTGTTGTTTTTAAGAAGAAAAAAATGGGGAAATAAATAACGCTTAAAATTGGGAGGGGTGCAATGTTCCTAAATTTGCTGACAAGCCCAAAACATCGTCACAAAGGGCGTCTCCTCAAAAATAATGGGGGGGGGCAATTTGGGACTTATGTACTGAAAGTATGATAGTTGCATATCAAAAAGGGTGGCGCAGGCGGCTCGTCCCCTATAATTACCTCTCCACTGAACTATGCTACAAAAGATCATGGACTACCGCGTTTTTTGATCTCCTCGCCCCCTTCCCTCCCCTTATATGACAATCCTGGATCTACCTTCTAATACCATCCATTAACTTTAATTCATATCGCTTTTTTTTTTATTTGATTGACAGCGTCGATTTAAAATGATTATTTAGTGTAGTATCTCATTTTCTAATTTCGACTGGACGAAGATAACCCAAAGTAAACTCCATTATCAGTTCGGACAATGGCGCCGTGTTACACGATACGTCGATGAATAGACGTATTGTGAATTGAAATATTTACCTAACAGTCCATTTACCCGCTCGCCAACGTATATTGAAAACTAAAGGGCCTTCCGGCTAACTAAAATTGATTCATGATGTCCCATCCAGCATTTTTAAAACGAGGAGGAATAGGTTCTATATAGTTTAATATTTGTTGTCTTCATGTTCCTGAAAATTTAAATGGGTCAATCGTAACCAACCAAAATTGCATTAAATTTGGTTAATGAGTACATGCACTTCAGCGGCTCTAGACAAGATTATGTTAAATCACATTGGTTTTTGCTACCATCTTGATCTCCTTAGGAAAAGATATTGATATATTGATATATTTATTGTATCGATTTCAGAGCAAGATATTGAAAAACAAAGTGAGGCGTGTCGAAAAAGATGAAGGGGGAGGAGACGAGGTATTCATTTTATTTGGCCGTAACAAAATAAGTAGCGTTCATATCAACCAAAGAATGTAAACATATGCTAGAGTAACCTACTTTTTTGTTAAATAGCCTTTTTCATTTGCATATGCAGCCCCCTCGATTGTCCACTATCTATTATGTATAACTTAATATTTGGCTGTAATTCCTTCTATTTCTATTTTTCTTAAGCGCTTAGAGACATATTTTGTGATAAGCGCTATACAAATGTTGTTAATTATTATTATTATTATTTAAGCAGCCTCCTTATTTGAAAGTTATTTTATTTGTTAGCATCTTATCTCGAAACAAACTGAAACAAACCTGTCAGGGTAGGATTATTTTTTTATAGAGAAGTATACGTTTAAATTACAATTTGAAAATGGTTATTACCGTCAAATTGAGTACAGTTATAGTTGAAAGCAATCTACGAGAAACACGATAGGAAAGACTTTCGAGAAATCAACCCTATGGCAATTCAAGTATCGTAATGTATATCCCACTCAAATCATATATCTGAATTACCTAACACCTTATTATAATGTTTCCATCATCAATAGCTAAGAAAATGAAAGTTGTGAAATTGTATGCAAAGAGCCAATTGGGGAGGAGCTCCCAAGTTACGTCACAGTGTTGTCAGCTTCCCCTTTAATAGGGACTTTTAGATTGGCGTGGACTGATACGTGTGACGTCCATTCAAGGCAGTGCATTAAAGGGACGTCGACTGTAGCAATCCACATTGTCTTCGTGCAAATCTAAAAGTCCCTAATGTCCTTCTGGCGTTCGAGTCATTGTTCATTTTGGCTTTGTGATGTGATTGTGGTAGCGAGAGTGAGGCGGCCCAGATAAATTGTAAAGTCATGCTCTGCCCCGGGCAAAACACGAGACGTGAATTCTTTTCGTGGATGACGTCATCCTCGTCGAGGCCTCCTCTCTCTCTCTCTCTCTCTCTCTCTCTCTCTTTCTCTTTTTCTATCCCTCCTTCTTTCTCCTCTTCATCAATACCTTCCTACCTCTCTCTCTCCCAGTCTCCCTGACCGCATTCCAAGGCAGATCCGTCTCTTTAAGTGGTAGTGAAAGGAGCTGTACCTATTCTGAGAGTGTAAATTGCCGCTTTTCTCTGCCTCTCTTCTTCTTTTCACCCATAGCATCCTGACTTTTCTTGGTATTTCAAAAAAGTATTTGTTTATACCACCAAGACGTCTACGGTCATCTTCACAACATGCTGTCCCCATCAGTCCCGTAGTAACAAAGTTTATATATGTGGCATTTATCAAATGAAGTCAAGTTATTATATTCAACAACGGTCCCCACGTTCAAGAGCCAATAATGAAATTTCTCACTTTAATACATTAATGCATATATTATTCAGTATTTGTATGATTATTAAGTATTTGGCAAGTTATTATATTCAACAACGGTCCCCACGTTCAAGAGCCTATAATGAAACTTCTCACTTTAATACATGAATGCATATATTATTCAGTATATGTATGATTATTAAGAATTTGGCGTCACCTGTGCCTGGGAGGCGAAAAGTAAACTGAATCAATTGGATCTCTGCTCCCAGTACAACTAATTGGGGATACATGTGCAGGTGGACCAATACACCGGGGTTCCCATACTTCTATACTTATACGAATAGTACAGTAAATGAGGCATTTATCAAATGAAGTCAAGTTATTATATTCAACAACGGTCCCCACGTTCAAGAGCCTATAATGAAATGTCTCACTTTAATACATGAATGCATATATTATTCAGTATTTGTATGATTATTAATTATGCTGCATTATTGTAGAGCGTTTAGAGACTTCTGACAAAGTAAGTGTTAGGCGCTATATAAGCACTGTAATTATTATTATTAAGCATTTGGCGTCACCTGTGCCTGGGAGGCGAAAAGTGAAACGAATCACTTGGATCTCTCCTCCCAGTACAACTAATTGGGGATACATGTGCAGGTGGACCAATACACCGGGGTTCCCCTATATTCTATACTTATACGAATAGTGCAGTGGTTTCTCAACGGGCACATGTTGTGACTCTCCTCTACACAGGACCTCCATTTAGCGTCCTGTCCGAGGGACGAAGCGCTTTGCACTGTACATGTATAAACAAAGACTGTGTCAATGGCAGAGGAGAGGGGCATAACGTAGACTTTAGTCATCCGCCTGGGTGGGATTCGAACCCACGACCTTTGGTTCGACAGGCAGCCGTTTTTCCCAACTGAGCCAACTTTGCCTCTCTAAACCTGTAAAATATTCATAATTCTTTCTTTTATTTTTCTTTCGTTACACAGGATTCGGCAAACATTCGTGCAAAGAAAAATTTGGTGAGTATCATATTAGATTCAAATATCACTGTCACTAATATAATATGAAATTCCATCACCATAACGCCTTATGATAAACGTTATTGTGAATTTTATTTCATATTATATATGGAAGTACAAAAGTCCAAACACATAAATCTGTAGGGAAATATAATAATGTCTTAACACTGCCCCCCTCCAAAAAAAAATTGTCAGAAATGGCTATGTTCTACGTCGGTGTTTAAAAAAGTGCTTCTGGTAAATCATAACTTTAATATGATTTCGTGCATGATGAAATATGTCTAATTCAAAATATCACCCTAAGAGTAAGGATGAAATAGACGTAGACGAGTGGTTCCCACTTTGTGATGTTTGTTGATACAATGAAAAGTACAAAAAAAATCATAAGGATTTAAGTTCCAAGCCTTAAGTTTTCTTTCCACATGCCAATAAAAACAGTGCAATGAGATACATTACAAAATAGTAACATTACAATACAGCATACTCGAAAAAGGATAAAGATGATAAGAAAGTATGGAAAGGAAACGCATAGTCCAAACAAAAGCAATATTAAAGATGCTAAAAACAGGAAAAAACCAACTGTACTAGGAAAAATCAGCAAGCTTGTTTACATTCCCACCATGTGTCGCCATTCTGAAAGCTATATTTTGAAACTAAGCTTGTGTGCCGAGAGGGATGTGTACAGATAACTTTAGAAATTGAAGTTTCGGTAATGTACTCTTACGATATTGGTTACACATTGGTACGAACATACTTTTATATTCTGTATGAATAGTAATGCTTATATTCTCACCGTCGCCCCAAAGCAAACATTGTAAGAAAAAACGTTGTGCTTAACCTTAAATTCTCCTTCGATTTTCCGCAACATATCATCTCTATAACACCAAACATGTGCTACAAAATGTCTGTATGTCGTAGTGCCATTTCACAAACTTGATGTGAACAGCGTCTGGGACTGGGAGAAGTGCCTTTGATATGTAATTTGAGCTGTTTTGAAGCTTTCAGGTCCGTCCTTCGATTAGGAATCACTCGGTTCTAACAAGAAATTAATGTGTCATTTGCAGGTCCACGTCAAAAATTCACGAAAATGGATACGTTGTCACTTACAAGCGAAATGTAATCTTGACGCCAATTTTTACGCAAGTTCTTTTTCTCTCCTCTTTTTTCTTTCTCGAATTGTGATGTAAGAATAAAGGTACAACGTCTTCGATATTCATGGTGACCTCAAAACGAAAACAAAAAATATTTTCCTTGACCATGGAAAACACTGTTATTCATTTAATATAATCATATGCATGTAGGTTAGAGGGCTAATTCGACTGAGTAGTATTACAAGATTGAATACTATTTGTTTTGTGAGGCTCTTCGTGGAATTTTTAACATGCTCTTTAAACTATTGGTATTTGTGCCAAGAAAGAGCTCTTATTCGAAGATAATCGAAAATAAAATTGCATGAATGGAATAATTTTACGACTTTGACATTTCTTGTAAAATGGTTTTGTTTGATAGTTTTACACGGGAGAAAGATTCGGATGCTCGTGCAAAATATTTTGCATTTTGAAAAGTACTTCACTTGGCTTTCTCATTAAAAAATTATAGTACTTCTTTGTTTTAGATTATTTTTTCGGTTACTGCATCATTAATAATAAACTAAGTATATTATGTTCCTTGGGCGTATGCACGAGTGTTTTTGTAAACCTCTGCATCACAGGAGGTGTGAGTGTGGGTGACAGGGTGGATGAGTTACTGTGTGAGGCAAAATAGTGTGCGTGTGGTATATTTTTTTTACTTAAGGAAACATTCTTGAAGACGATCTTTATCCTTTTTTTTAAACAAAAACGCCAATTGGGCGGATTTTTTAATGGGAATGTAACATATAAGTGTAATCAATTTTTGCACTAAAATCTACCAGTTTTCAACTGAATATCATCTATTCATCTATATTCGTGCCTGTGGCTTTTTCTCAGAAGACAGACCAAGTGTAACGAAGATGAATTTTGAAAATATATGTTGTTTAAATTAATATAATGTTATGATGCATATTTAGGCGCCGAAGGATGATCTTGCCATTGATACGATGAGCGCAGAGAGTGCTATCATCCACCATGTCTGTGATGCGTTTTCCTGAATATTTTTCTTGAAATATGTTTTACTATGGTTAACCTCGACTTGTTAATAACAGCTCGTTATTAATAGCAAATGCCATCATCATTATTCTATGATGACACGTTTTCTTTCTGCTCGAATTATCACTTGTCTGAATAGGACCTAAAAACCCGCCATTGCCTTGTATTGGTCTGATTAAGCACACCGTTCAATGGCCATCGTAAGCACATGCAGTCCCATGCGTATATAACGACGTTTGTTCTAGACCCAGGTGAAACAGTTTAGCTAATAGAAAGAGACGTCATTGGTGTATAAACCGCACATTCCAAGCGGGAGAGTTTTGTTAGTTTAATATCTCAAAGCGTATTTATATTCGGATTTGCATCGGTAGAATTGTATTGACCCTTTGCCAGTATTCACTCGAAACAGAATTGACGCCATGGTAGAGAAAATGAAACATATTGCCATGGAACCTTGAGTATGCGATAACAGGATGGAATGAATACTCCTCATGTATGATCAGCTTCGTGCAAACACAATTCATGAAACTATTTCGAGAGTTATTCATTTTCACTCAATATTAGATTCTGATGTATGACTCACTGAGCAGTTCATGTTGGTTCATTTATTGTACTATGAATATGAAGGGAGGGGTGTTTCGAGTCCTCGTATGACTGCTTTGTTTCACATGTCTAATTCAATTGCTTCGTTGTCACAATTTTCTTCTTTTTAAACTCATCAAAATGTAGTTCGTGGTTTCATACTGTTTATTTTTTACCACATGGCCTTTCTTGGTCGATCCCCTTCTCTCTCTCCCCCTCTCTCTCTCTCTCTCTCTGTCCCTCTCTCTGTCCCTCTCCCCTTTATCTCTCTCTCCCCCCCCCCTCTCTCTCTCTCTCTATCTCTCTCTCTCTCCTTCTGTTCTCTCTCTCTCTCTCTCTCTCCCTCCCCATTTCTGTCTACTGATTCTCACTCCTTAAGCCATTAATCTTTCAAAATCTTTACTTTGATGTTCAAACTAAGTCATGCTAAAGCATCGATTAGTGTTCATATGAAAAGTTGCCATGGAGTTTGTATTCAAGATGATGTATGAAACAATCAACGATACCTGCATTTATTCACTGTAGAGCTTTCTAATCAAAATTGTATTGATATTGTTGATTATTCTTTATCTAATGATCTCATTTCTTATTCTCTCTTTCCTATTTTTCATTTTATCGCTGGCATCTTACCATCGCAGGGAAGACGGGTAAGTCATATTCACACATTCTCAAAATCAAGGACTGTCAAACCTGCTCTAGCGACCACCTGTATTTAAAGACCGTCTCCCTATTTATATTGAAACACACATTACAGGAACCAGTACATAAAGACCACCTGCTTGTAAAGACTGGGTTTTTCCCCCTCGAGCGGTCCTTAAATAGGTTTCACTATTTTTGAAAATTTGTTTAATTTGTAAAGATGCACAGTATATCAGTTTAAATATAATTATAAGATTTTTCGTCACCCTAAAATAAAGAACAGGGTACCAAGTTTTTGTTTTCTTCCAACCATGAGCGGTTACATTAGGTGGGATAGTGATATTGGTGCTTTGAGATTGCTTTTGGTTTCCTGCTTTCATTTTCTACAAGTCATGTGCCTCGCAACAATTTTTTTGTTTTGTTAAGGGGGGTTTCAAATAAAAATGACGGGTGGGGGAGGGGCATTCTATACGGCCTTCTTGCCACGAACCGGAAGTGCATGACAAATCAAGTACGCCCCTTTATGATGAAAATAAGTTACCAGTACTAATTTCAATCGTTTTGTTCTTCCATTTGCTTCCTGCTGATTCATGAAACTTCAACATTTGTAGAGGGTAAGTAGCCTAATGTTTTGATTATGTAATGACTATAGATAGAGTACCAAAGTGTGACGTCATACTGGTCACGTTGTGAAGGTTGTTGGCTCCAATCATATTTTGGTTAACTATAGTGTTTTGATCACACCAGCCCCAAACACTGAATTTGTCCTGCTTCAGCCCGCTGCTTGAGTGATTATGCGGTGAGCCTCATGCGCAGGCTCTGTTGATAAGAGCAAGTATCCTGGACGACGAGCGAATATGACGTCAACACCCCGGTATTCTATCAATTGTTTTTGTAAAAATACAACTATTGTATGTGACGCATGTCATATGATTTCTAATTTAAACGCATGCTTAGAAAGCATGTGATTGTGTTGAGATTTATTTTGTATGAATGACCTGACATCATAAAATCTACCTTTGTTGTTTTTATTAAAATTCAATGATACCACCTCTTTTGTTGAGGTTCTGGTTGGATAAGTAATTTTCGATTTGTAGTGGAATCTTATCGGAAAGAATGGGATTTATTATTACCTTATTTCTTGTACGACTGTACGTCATTCAAATATCGAATAGTGTGTTTGTTTGGTATGTTTAGGATGAGCTGTTGGTTGGGTTAGGGATGAATAGAGAGATCTAAAACGCTTGCCGGTGAAATTTAGGCCTTTTATATCCCCCAAAAAGAAACGTAGTAATCTATTAATGGTTTCACTGAACAACTTTGATACATATTGAACTCTTGCCAATTATAGTAAATTTCAAACGTACCGTCAACTCACTTTAATATGTTGTTTAAACTATTTTTACGACGTAACACCTTATACAGATCAATCGCTTGAGTTATATATTAAGTAGCTAAGCGTTCTATAATTATACGATGGTTTCCTTACGAGAAAGCTTTTAAAAATAACACCATTATATTGATATGATCCCAAAACCAATTAATTTCATGAGCTGGGCTTCATTTCCAAATCCGCTCGTCAGCGTTGAACTCAGTTTGCTGGGCCCTTTTTAACTCTGATAGTGACATTATTTCCATACTGATTCGATTAAGGTATTACAAAGGCGGTAAATGACTATGTCGTGTGATTATGAGCTTAACCTAATTTCACGTAATGCGATTAGCATTACTAGACATGGAATTGACGTACGTTGGTCATGTGATCAATTTTTGCGTTTCCCGAGCATGTACTGTCTGATTCTGAGCTGCAACAATCGCCGCCATCTTGAAACTGCCTCTAACCTGTTGAAAATTTTGTTGTAATTACCATTAACAAAAAAATATAATAATAATTATATACAATATCTTGCCCCAAAGTTGCTTATGTGATGTTTGAATAAAACAATTGGGATTTGGGTATTAATTCGGTCTTTGCAGATCCAAATAACATCCCTAACAAATAATAATCATGCCACACATATCAAATATCGAAAATCAAATATCAACGAACATTTTGTGCGCACGTGTGTGTGTGTGTGTGACTTTGCTTCTACAAAAAGCATAAGCAATGCATTTCATTTGGTACATTCAATTCATTCTCTCTCTCTCCGTTAATCCTTACATAATACATACTGTAGGCATCACTTTGGCGCAAGCCGATTTTTGCACTATCGCAAACAATGCCTCCTGTTCAGCCAAGCGTGAACACATACCACACAAAGGTGATACCAAATGATTCGGGATAAGACACTCTTTCATAAGATGTATAATAAGTTACTGTTTATAGATGATTTTTTTTTTAAAATAGCAATTTTGTTAAAGTTAACCTTTTTTTGACTCACACGGTATATGATGAGGATAAAGTGTATTGATCTGGTAGGTCTCAAATAATTAAAGTTTATCTTAAAGTGATGTCCAAAAAGTCTGTCAACCGAAGAAAACAGAAATTTAGTTTTCATCTCTTGATCTTGACATCTTCTTGCCTATTTTTGATCAGACGGATTTTTACCGATTCTAAGAAGCGAATTGACTTACATTTAATACAAGTTTTCCCGTCTCGACGTTCCAACTGCGCATTGCTTTACCTGCATTGCGTGACAGAATTAGAGTAATGCGAGAAGTGGAAAGGCTTCTGAGAGGATTTGGGTGAATCTGGGCTTAGTTGGTGATGCGGTGAATAAAGGATACCAGACGGATTCTCGCCTGACGTGTAGGGTTTCAATCAGCAGGGATGAGAGAAAGTCATCAATTGGAGTTGGAAAACGTGATCGGTGATGGATGAAAAAAAAGAGGAGATAACCTTCTCTTTTTTTACCTCTCAGATCATAAGCTGTCCAAGTGGGATAACTTTATGTTGATCTAAATCAGTCAATATTTGAATAATATTGTGTGTCTAAACAAAATCAATTATTTATGCGCAGGAAAGGTAATAATCTTACTAAGTGTTGATAGAAAGTAAAAGATAGCGTGCTCGAAGAAAATAAAATAAGACCTTTTGTAATTTCCCCAAGTATGCAAATTATACGAATTCGGACCCCCTCCCCCTTTTCAAATCTATCCGAGACTATCCATTTGTACATGGCGCAAGATGCTTTAATGTAAACCGATTTGAAATATTCTACGGGATATTGAAATCGTATATTGATCTTATAATTCTGTCACTGATTCTTGTGATGTGTTTATTGGTAAGGATATTTATGACAGTTATCAGCGCAGGGGTTTAGCATGTTAAAAACATAAGCTAACTGTCTGGGTTATTATCCTTGTTTAGCGTGGTAGTCGATATTTGTCTCAGAAATATGCAAAACAATCTAATCTCAGTGGCTTTCTACTCATAATATACTATTTTGGTGAATAATATTATCTTTGAACATTAAAAAAAACTATCGCTAAACATTCCAAATAAGAGATTTGTTGACGTGGTAGTCGATTTTGTCTCAGAAATATGCAAAATAGTCTAATCTCAGTGACTTTCACCTTATCATATACCGCTTTGGTGAATAATATTATATTTAACGCTTTGAAAACTGTGGCTCAACATGCAAAATAAGAGATTTGATTCAGAATCTTTTCAGAATCCAGAAACGACAGACAATATCACCACCATAAACGGTGTATTTTCAATTACCTATCCGTTCTGCTCAATAAATGTATTAATCTATTTCATGAGTTTTGTCTGGGGTTGTCGTATTATCAAGCAATCTGCTTACAATTTTCTTTTTCCCCCTTAATTTACTTGTCTAGCTTTCTCTCTTGTATATATCGTAAATATTTCTCTTGTTTCTCGTTTCACTCCAATTTGCTCTTATCATTATTGTAAGTTCTTATTTTGCTGTAAGTTTTCCTTATACTCTGTACTATCTATTTTCATGTTTTCTATGTCTACAGGAACCCCTCTGTAAAACAGCATTGTTATACTAACAACACTGAGTAGGGCCATCCCTCCGTCTTCTTTTTTTTAAGTGTGTCCTTATGATTGTAAATTTATATTTCCTGATGTTTTTTTTTTTAATGACGGAAAATAAATACTATACAATTCAACAGCTGACACAGAAACACACTTCTTGAAATTGTAGGATTAGTGAGGAGAAAAGAACTAATTTGTAGTTCAAGCAAATTAAAGCCGATATAATCATGTATTCCACGTTGATGAATATGTGCAATTACTTTGCTATGATAAGCAGGATTTGCAAGTCTTTTAAATTTCGTATTCTTGATGTTTTTGTTTAACTCTAAGGAACAGGATAATTTATATAATATATTTTTTTCAGATGCTAATTTTGTTTATTTTTCTTTTCTATGTTTTTCTCAATATTTTCCTCCCGCTTCTCTTATCGTATCCTGCATCACGTGTAGATGTGCCAGGTATGTATTTTAGTTAATATCCGTTTACATTATTTGGGGCATTGTAGTCAGCGAGTAAATAATAATTATTCATTTTAAAAGAAAACGGGTGAAAAGATGCACAAAAATTGTTACAGAATTATGCCAAACTTATTGTGCTGCTGATATTATATCAATTATGGATCCCATTTTAATTACCAAAGATATTGGGCAAAATGCACTTCCATTTTCAAAAATGAATATACAATAATATTTGTGTAAAATGGGGACAATAACGTATCCAGGCTTGTCAATGTTTGCATCGTACAAATTAGGGCTCAGTTATGCATGTAAATACTGAAAATGACAGAAAGGATATACCACTTTTTAAATCAGAATTCCTCAGAATTTTACCAAATATTGTGGAAGAATGTTCCTATAGTAACATTGTTGATATATTTGTTGAGATAATGATATTTCCGTTTATGACCCCCACAACAAATCTTTAGGAATATCGTATAAAACTATTTACTAGCTTTCTTGACAAAATATGCAAGTCACAATCAAAATATTAAATTTATTCAGTAAAATGTCACGATTATTCGGGAAATGGCGATATTTAGGTATGAGAAAGATGTTTTTTGTATTTTTTTTTTTATACTGAAAGTCTATTTTATATTTTGTTTTTCGTCTCATTCTTCAGCTTCTAATCTTTAAAGGGCTATATATACCTGCAGCCTATTTCGAAAATCTGTATGTAGATCCCCAGTTGTGTAGTGCAGACACGCTGAACACCTGCGTCTGTTTACCATTTGTAACGATTGTGTTATAAGGTAGAGAAAAGGGTTTAGGACAAATCTAGTACGGTATGGAAAGCGAGGAGATATTTCATTACAGGAATGAAAACATGTATTGACCACTATGACATTTTCAAGCACTGGGTATTGGCTTTCAAACTCAAACCAATACCATAAAGAACAATGCTTCGCAATAATACAAGCCCGCGACCAGAAGTACAGCTGTTTCCAATGATGCTTTCTTTCATTTATTTTTCCCTCTCTCACCTGATTGGATGTGACTCCGCCTGCCCCTTCGCATCCTAGATACATCCAACGGTAAGTATCTAATGTTTGTTGTTTGTTGTTTGTTCTCTCGGATGACCACATGACCAACCCCCCCCCCCCCCACCCCCTCTTGTGGGGGAGCCGCCATAAGAGAAGGTGCTCAAACATTCACACCAACGACTACTTTGACATGTTAAATTTGTTGGTCAGCACTTTTTGTAATGTCATATCATGAGAATAAGCAAAGTTGTTGGTCCAAAATTGTATTTTTTCATGCTTTATCGATGCCTCGTATGGCTTGAGTATGGAAATGATTTAGAGAACTAGTAACAGATAGCCGTTGGTGCAGAGAAAACGGCAAATCTTCCGCCAGAAGGTGGTAATTTTCTTTCCAATAGCTCTAGATGAGAAGGACACATCTTACAAGTAACACTAAATGAATATATACTTATTTACGGCTGTGTCAGACAGCATTTTAAACTTTCAAGGATCTAAAATATATCTCTTTTTTTAAACTGTTTTCTTACTGTTTTTTTTCTGTTGTCATGATTGTTTGCGCTTATGGAGATGAAAGAATTTATAAAGATGAAAGAATTGCATACATTGGCACGTGCCCTCGTATATCCTTCCAGTTTCCATTTTATTATTCTCATTGTATTTTTGTTCTCCTTCTTTTATTCTATTTTACCCGAATTTTTGCTGTGAACAGAATTGCGCAAACGTGAGTATAATAGATTACGTCGAACTTTATCTATGTTCCTCTGGAAAACGTTTTCAAGATGTTCTTCAAAATGTTCAAAAATACATTATTTATTTCTTATTTATGTATTCATTTATTTAGTTATTATTTTCTGCATGGTTCATTAAATACGATGGTACGATCAACATGAGAATGAAATTGACAAAAAATAGCAGTAGACATGAAAAAAGGCAATGGCAATCATAATAAATTTAAAAGTAATACTGCATGGAAAACACGCAGAGGTTTGGCAATATAAACTCATGTCTAAGCCTTGTCATACCTATACCATTCAATTTACACATAGTCCTCAAGAGATACAAAACAAACATCCTAAACATTCTGATTAGTATCTCTCTCCTTTATCTCTCTCCTTCTTCCACAGCAATGGCAAGATGATGTGTTCGGACGAGTAAGTATATTTTTGTAACTTTCACGTGGTCTTATATTCTTTCATTTGAATAGGGTGCCTTAATTTCAGAATTTGCGATGAGTATATTCAACAACGTAATTCTCCTCTCAGAATATCATGGTGATGGCTAAGCTTCGAAATTGTATTCTATGAACATAACCTTTGACCTTTATTTCATCTTTGTTATTTTGCAGAAGCGACAAGCCATCGTAAGGAAACGAATATCTGATTTAATTCGGCTCCCAGCAGCCAACGACCATGACTGATGTTTTACCTACGAATCTGCCTTGGTTTTATTTCTATTTATTTCTGGTAAGTATTGCGTTATTTCTCCCTAAACCAATGGCATAATCAAGGGCGATGAGAGGGGGGGGGGTGGAGAGCAACCTCCTCCAAGGAAATGAAATATATAAAGCACAGAACTTTAAAAATAAGAGGGAGACCTCACTCGATCGCGCCTAATTTCTGATGTACTGCACGGCTAACAAGAAAATAAGATTATGACTTAAATGGTTAATGCTGTGAAACTATGTTTTAGCTAAAAGGGCATGATTATTCACACCCGAAATGTAGCACACTGAATGTATAATTTAAAAATTAGGTAAATGAGTCTCTCTCTCATTTAATATGTTACACTATATTGATTTGGTTTTGAAGAATGTACTGGTTTTTTCCTTCTCATTGGCATGATTAGGACCTTCTGATGATTTGAGAAGCTAAAAATTTAAAGATAGCCTTTTTTACGCAGTAGTGTAGAATTTGGACAAGCTTTTAATGGGACACGGATTGGAGGGTTACCCCCCCCCCCTTCTTACTCGGTGGGGCGATTGAGAGGGGCTTGTATCTTATTTTCACGTTAACTATCTCCCCCCCCCTACCCCCTCGCCCATTTTTTAGTCATTAGATTGGGATACGTACCCTCAACCCCTGTAGCTACGTCACTGCTTCGATGCAGGGGTCATGTTATCAAAAAGGCTAAACGACATGTTGCCTGGCATTAAGCATCCTTCTTAATTAATCGACATCATTATGAGGACCGACGAAGATTTGAAAGATTAACTGAAATATGGACTTCAGTACACATTCTGAATGAAGCAATTATTTGCTAGGTTACCGTCGTATGTTTTTGTTGTAAATGAAGATTAATACAAAATAATATTGACCTTTAGAAACAATATTGCCTGGCTATAGAATGACTACCAAGACATGAACACTGCAATCAAATGATAGGAATTAATTTTTCGTTTAATCAAGCAGTATCAATATGTGCACGAATGTATAGGAAATTGTACTATGCGTAATCCGACATTAAAGGTAATACAAAGTTTTGGGAAATTTTGAAAATTGGATGGAGAGTGAATCTTTACAATTTTGATATATTTGGATGCCCCTGTGGATGTATTATAAGCACTAACAAAATTAGCCCCTAAAACACTTCTGTTTTTGAGAAAAATTGAATATAAAAATTTACCGGTGCTCCCGGTAAATTTTGATAAATTTCAAATAGCGCCTATGGCCGTACAATGGTAGCTGCGACCATGAAAATCTCAGAATATTTAGTTGTAATATATAATTTCCAAACGGGAATAGCTAATCGGTCGATTTTAGTCAAGAAACATTGTTTCAAAGCTAAATTAACATCTTGACCTTGAGAGGGAGCTATACAATATAAAGAGTTTATCATTTATAATTTCATAACTTCAGACTCGATTTCAACCGCGACAACGATCAATGAATATTGTAGGAACGCATATGCTTCTAACATTTTAATTTGAACCGAATTCATGACCCCATACCAAAACTTTGTATTACCTTTAAACTTTCATCGTAATTTGCTGTTCAAATATGTTACACATTTTTTTGGCTAAAACTTGATATAATGCAAATGTATTTTTTAAGGATTTTTGATTCATTGGTGATTGTCGTATCTACAAATCCCCTCACGGTGCTTCCGGACTTCGTGATCTCGATGATGAAACAATCTGTTGGCTTAATAAGGCTTAATAAGATATTCTTTGTACGAACGAACGAACGAACGATTCATTCGTGATGAAATAAAAAAAGACATAAGAAAGAAAAAGAATCCATGATGTTTGGCATGTTTTTCACAAACTTTGGTGTTACAAATATGAATCTAATTTCTTACTCTCTTTCTCTCTCATCTTCTTCATCGCTCTCTTGTCCCTCTTAATAACTAATATATGTTTGGCTGTAGGTCTCTCTCTCTCTCTCTCTATCTCTCTCACCCTCTTAATCGCTCTCTGTCCCTCTTAATAACTAATATATTTTTGGCTGTAGGTCTCTCTCTCTCTCTCTCTCTCTCTCTCTCTCTCTCTCTCTCTCTCTCTCTCCTTATCTTCCTCCTTCCCTCCCCCTCTTTCCCACCCCTTCTGTCTCAACCCCTATACTATCTCTGTCCCTATCTCTCTCTCTCTTCCTTTAATATACTATTCCTTTACTATTCCACATGTTAACACACAACTTCGTTTTTGTGTTCACCTTACAGGGACACTATTGGGACACCTCCGCAGTTGATATCTTTCTTCAAGTTTCTTTACAAGCCAGCCGACCGCATTTGCATTGTCACCATGGAAACAGCACTCACACGTCACGTGACTTCAACCATTTTTCACGGCGCCACCGATTATGACCGTTGTCACATGACTGCGTAACGGGAATCATTGTCTGACCTTTCAAATAAGCCTAATGGTTCAGTGTCGGAATCTTCGGGGGGGGGGGAGGGACAGGGGGCACATCCACCCCATCACCCCCCCCCCCTTTCCCTTAATCCGAACCCCCCCCCCCCCAAAAAAGGGGGGGGTAACAATAGAGAAAAGGAAAAAAAGAATTGTTGGCTTATGACATTTGTCCTTGCCACAGAACTTTCGAATTTGTCCCCCCCCCCCTTTTTTTTTTTAATAAAGAGAACCCTTGATTTACCTATTTGATTCACCTCAAAGTTGTCATGAGGCTTGACTAATTCCCTAGCCCTCTTCCCCCTCCTCTTAATAGTCGATTCCTTGTGGCTAGTTGAGACACATTATGGCATGTTAATCCTCCTACATTCATTTAGTGCTCTGACTTACGTGAAAGCATCGGCGTTTTCATGAAGTATTTAGAAGCCTATTTGAAGTTTTGTAAAAGCTTGCTACACCTCTAACTGAATTTCAGACAATGATTCCCGGATCGTTCCTAGGCATTCTTTCTAAGTATACATTATACAATACATGTCGTATGTTTCGAGAAGGACGCCCTCATCGTACAACGTCCATTTGATGTTCATGTTCCATCCAGCATCATAATTATATCGATGATTATTTATCAAGAAAGTTAGATTGGACACATCAAAAGCGGGGTTCAAATTTCACATAAGTGTGCACAGATATACGTTATGCTCAATTTTAACCCTTCATGTCAAATGATGCAGACATTCTGGCTTGCCTATTACCAAAAAAAAAACACGACTTAGCATAAATGTACTTGGAATTTAAGATCAATAATTATTGTAATGGCCAATAACGTATTGACTCGTCATCGCTTATTCATGAGGGGGAAAATGTAGTCCTTCTCATGTTTTTCTTGCATAAAATCCTTAATGGTTTGACATGGAAATGCAAAGCCAATAAAAGTACTAGATTATAAATGTAGAGATTGATTTAGATTTTCTAAGGTTTGTAAAGTAATTACATTAAAAGATACTGGTTAAATTTTAAATGAAATAGATATTTTGTTTGAAAAAAATCCTTTACAAATTGATAAAATGAATCAATGAGTTGTAAGGATGTATATAATGAAATTGATAATGTTTCATTTTGTAAATTATTCATTCAAATATTATGTCTTGCTTCGCATACTTATCATGTTAATAGTTTAGAAATTTGGTTCCATCCCACTCCGGTCTAGTGAAGAAAGCGTTATGGCGGTCACAATTACAGTCAACATCGAATGTAAACAATTAACATTACGTTCCATTTTTGGTTAATATAAACCTTTACAAATCTGATTTTGATGTTGATGATGATGTTGATGATGATGATAATGATGATGGTGATGATATGAAGGAGTATAATTACGTTGATACTAATGAGGAGGAGGATTTTGATGATGATTATGTTGATGCTGCTAATGATGATGATGATAATGATGATGCTAATATTTAGGAGGTAGACAAAAATTATATTAAATAAACAAACTTATTCCATCTGACATTTTGCTTGGATTGCCATAACAATATAGAATAACTTCAATTTCATGATCGCTAAATTACATAAAATTATCCATAAGCTTATAAAAGCAAAGTATTCGAAAGTTATATTAATTTCTATATACCATTTCATGTAGCATAATAATAAAGAATGCAAATGTCACAGTGCAAAACATATGTTGAGGCTTTGTTTTTAATTGATTCGATCACTTTCAGGCAGTGTAATTTCAAAACAAATGAAAATGAAGTAACTAACAGAATAAGTATCTTCAATTTAAAACTGAACCAATAAATGTTGATCTGCATACTCTCACGTGACCAATGGCTGCCGGAAAAGGCTAAATAAAAGCAAAAATACATGTATTATAAGGACCAAGGAACATGTTAACGTAAAACTGTTGAAAGGTTCCGGTTCTCTTTTTCTGTAAAGCATCGGGTAGTGTAAAATATTCAAAGCCATATCTTAAGGAGATCCTCTAAGTTTTGTATAACTTTAGACGAGATTACGGGAATATATTTTCATCTATATATAGTACAAAATCAATGCATGCTTTGTCATTGTGCATGCCTTCTCAATTCACGTGTTTCAGACACGTTTAGCTTGTATAAGTTATTCATCATCAATATTAAACAGATCACTTTTTAGAAAATATCATCCTTTTGGAGCCAGAAAAACGTTAGCTTTGTATGATAATGATATTAATCGATGCCCTTCTGGCTCCTAACAAACGAATAATTATTAATCAAACTATATTTACGTTAATGAATTTGTCTAGGGTGGAACGTATCATATAGGCCCATGAATTTAAGGTCATTAGTTGCAAGCAAAATGCGATGTGGCTATCTCATGAATAATTTAGCTACTCACGGTTATCATATTAGTACGTCGCAAAAACCTTCGAAAAATCAATAAAAGGGCAACAAGCCTATTTACAAACTTGATGAATACCGTTGAACAATAATTTCTCTTGACGGCTAAAAAGCTTGCTAAAGTTCTGACTTATGAATACCCACTGGCTTTATTTCCAATGCATTATGCGATCCTGATAATTATTATGTTCTGGAATTCTTTTTACTGATGAATAGTACTAGTAGATTATATAACTTGCAAATTTATTGATAACCGAAGAAAGTTTGTAAAATCATATCATATATCTTATCAAAGTTTCTTAGTAATTTTATTTATGCAGCATGTTCTTTCCTTCGACACATGCCCTAAGATGAGGTTTTAATAAGGGTAAATTTAACAACTCAGAAAAAAAACTTGAACAATTGTGTCTTCGTAATGCGGTAGTCTTTAAGGACAAACCAAGATTGTTTTGTTAACACACTTTGTATAAAAAATGTATATTCTAACCCCGTTAATTTCAGGCTAGTGCAATTTATTTTCCGCTTATTTGTTTTTCTCATAAAAAAGAAGAAACCTGTACATGATGTAAATAACAATACAGATTAACATTAACTCCGCGCTGTATCCTATTGCTATAGTGTGGTAGCTTTTTTCCGTCATAGAATTTTTTCTCATGTTTCTGCAAAAATAAATTATTTATATATCCTTGTCAGCAGTACTATGAATTCTTGTCTTGTGTCGTCTTCTTTTCGTCTGAGCTTTAAAAAGAAACTTCATTATAATTGCAGAATTATGTACATATCAATGTACATAAAGATATACAAATCAGAGCCCCCCCCCCTCCCCCTCCCCCCCCCCCCCCCCTCCTCGCTTCCGCCGTAAAACCAATTCTAGCATAGGGGAAGTCAATTCTGATTTTAATTTGGTTTTAATAAGAGCAGAAAAATAAGAGAAACAAATTAGTGAAAGTTTGACCAATATTCCATTGCAAATATGAAAGTTGTGAAATTGTTGAAGTTGTGAAGTCAGTGAAACACAATAGTAAATAGAGGAAAATATAATTTTGTGAGGTGTTTTAGTCGAGAGCGAATAAAAGGGAAGCTTGCAGGATACGTCAGAGAGTTGTCAATTTGTGTTTGAATGCACCTTCAAATATCTATAGAGAACTTACACAAAGAGAAAGGAAAAAACGGAAAGGGGGACATCGAAATAAGAAAACAAATTTTGGTAAACTTGTAGATATACAAAGGTGGAAACGGAGAGAGAGGAGAGGAGGAACTGGGATGACAGAAAAGGAAATCCAAAAGGAAGTGTTGGAGAAAGAGAGAGATAAAAAGAGGGTGTGGGTCAAGGAGAAAGGAAAAGAGAACAAAAAAAACAATGAGAAAGGGAGATGGGAGAGGTAGAGAGACAGAGAGAGAGAGGGGGGGGGGGGGAGAGAGAGGGGTGTGGGTCAAGGAGAAAGGAAAAGAGAACAAAAAAAAAAGCGTTGAGAAAGAGAGACGGAAAGAGAGATGGGGAGAGGTAGAGAGAAAGAGAGAAGGAGAGGGGAGAGAAAGAGACAGAGAGAGACATAGACACGGTGAGAGACAGAGAGAGAAAGAGACAGAGAGAGGGGAAAAACAATACAAAGATAATATTAACATTGATAATTCTTATCAGCCACAGCAGCCACAGCAAGACGTATAAACAAGTATAAGCCAGACAAAGGTTGTATTTATAAAGCAATCGTTTTCATGATCTATTTCTAAATAATACACATAGCAAGACAGGAACAATCTGCAATACTTTTCATTAAAAAATTCGAGATACCATCATAAAACTGAATGGGAGATATAAGACAATAGTTTGTTGATGTTTTTCTTACTCTAGAAAATATCTTTGGATAATGCTTTTCATAAACAAAATCTTCAAAATACCGTCAACAAATTGGAAAGAGGAGATGAAATAATACTCATTAAAAAAACTATGACGAGGAAACATAAATTTACAACTTTATTAAAGTATTTAAAATGGGAATCCCTAAAAACCAGACGTAAAAAACACATGTTCATAATGCTGTATAAGATTTTCAACAATTTAACTCAAAATAATCTCTTTTACAAAGAAACCAATTATGCCCTAAGTAATGTCGATAACTTAGTCTTGTCCAAACCTAAAACTAATTATTGTAAACGAACATCATTTTATCGCGGATCTAAATTGTATAATGAATTGCCGATTAGGTAGACCGAACACACTCAATTTTGGCATGGCCTAAATGAATGGATACTAGATTTTGATGTATAAACTTTTGGTGTGAACGAGGAGGGGGAAGGGATGGTAACAGTCATAATGTTGTATAGAGGGTTTGGGAGGGGGTTGTAGACAGGCACGTAATCACGGGGGAGGGGGGCACGAGGGGGGGGGGGGGGGGTACGTGCCCCCCCCCAAAAAAAAATGTCCAGGATCGGTTGAACTTTTTTAGACCCCTTTTTTTTTTACCTCGATCGATTACATGTATGTGCCCCCCCCCCAAAAAAAAAAAACATCAAACTCTGGCTATGTGCTGGTTGTAGATAGTGCGTTTGTAATGTTTTATTTTCGTAATATTTTGTGTTTTATGTTTATGTTTAATTATTTCTGGACCTCTAGGAAGAACAGAGCCATTTTGATAATGGCTCTGAATAGAGCTTTCCAGCCGTTTTTAATTCTTGATTTTTATTATAATTATTTGTAAATAGTATTCTTGTATGTATTTTAATTTTAATCCGGAAAATAAAACCGACCAACCAACCATTTAAACATGAACTAATATTCGCCGATTGAAAATGTTATCTCTTGAGTGTGAATAGAATGTTTGGCGGATCTGGAGGGGCTGATAAAGGTCTATTTAAACCAATTAAGTCCCATGCATGCATGCATGCATGCATACAAAAAAAAAGATCAGTAAACATACATTTCAACATACATAAAGAAATATGATCTAATTTCAAATAGAACTGGCCAGGGCTCCAAGATAAGCAAAGCTTGATGCCTTTTGAGCCCTGACAATTAAGTAGATGTACAAGCAAAATACATAAATTAGGGAGTACCTGGTGATGCAAAGGCACAACAAAGAGAAGAGAAAATTTCACAACGGCTCAGCCAGCCGCTGAATAAGTTGGGGGGGGGGGGGGGGGGGGGGGGGGACATGTAAACATATATTTTTTGGTCCCAAAATTTTTGCAACGTCTCAGCCAGCCGCTGAATAAGCGGTGGGAGGGGGTAAGAGGACATTTTTTTCCCCAAAAAAATTCGAAAATTGGCCCGATCGATATTTCGTTTCACTGAGGTCATCCTATTACAACAATTATTTTTTTTTTTTTAATAATTACAAAAAATAAAAATAAAAATAAGGGGGGTTCAACCCCCCCCCCCCCCCCCCCCCCCCCCCCCCCCCCCCCCCCCCCCCCGCGTACGCGCCTGATGCTAGTTGTCGCGTCCAAGAAATACTGGATCCGCCACTGTATTGGGGCAGTTGTATTATCAAGCAATCTGCTTACAATGACAATCCTTCTTCTGCAAATAATTTCATAATGTTTGAGGAAATTTAGTACTTATGACAGTTTATCATTTCGTTTTTGAAAATAACAATTTTCAATTTTTCATAGTTGATTATTTATGATTGATTGTCAGAAAAAATGCTTATGCACTTTAAACTATTATTGTTATCGAAAAACTGTGTACTTACATGAATACAGTAGAAAATCAAATGAAATGAAATGATGAATACATCTAGTTTCTACCAGTGTGCCCCCGCCCGCCCCCCCCCCCCCCCACATCTCCAATTTCCGTATACTAATTTGTAGAATAGAAGTAATATATCGGATACCTAATATTGAGTCTGCAGCTACTCTTTTTGTGTGGACAAATTCTCGGCCAAATATCTGACGATTACTCAATCATTTTCACATTTTCTCCGTCGGGAATAGTTTAAAAGGCACCTTATTCATTTAAAAAACGACTAAATGGCAGATAATTGGGCTAGTTTTCCAGCTGGTGATACTCCGGCAGAGGTAAGTTAGTTGGAAATCTATCTGATAAGGTAACAGCATCAAATGAAACGAATGGGACTGTAGATTGTATTTGTGCGATATTTGCTGTGCACTGCATCAATCCTATTGTTGATTGCGAGTGCAGCTAGTTCATGTATTAAAGATCTTCGTCGCTATAGTTCAGAAGTCTATCCAAAATTTGACCTGTTACTCCGGCGTGGAGATACCCTACTAAAACATACCCTAGACTCTAAATGAAGTAAATTTTATCAAATGTCCAAACAAAGGTCATGACTCGTCTCATGTCTCATGAATAAAAGTCGATATGTTTGTTACCTGTTTCGTGTCAATTTTCATATCTTTTTTGGAGTATTTTTCCGAAAAACGAAGACTTAGAAATCACGGCAAACTGAAGCCCAATAGGCAATACAATTACATACCATCCCGGCGGTCGGGTGTGTTTGGGCGCACGCGTGTGTTAAGTTAGCGACTGTAATCTTAGTTTACGGTCGCTAACTGAACACACGCGCGTGCCTGCAGCTACACCCCACTGTACCGTTGTAAACTTAAAGTATGGAATTGTATTGTGCTGCAGTTTGCCAAGAATCCTGTGAGAAATTGCATTATTATAATTCTTTGTCTTTAGGAAAAATACTCCAAAAAAGATAAGAAAACTGACACGAAACAGGTAACAAAATATCAACTTTTAAATCATGGCCTTTATTTGGACATTTGATAGTCTACATATTTACTTCACTTTGGGTATGTTTTAGTAGGCCATGCCGGGGTGACGGGTCAAAGTTTGGATAAAATTCTGAACTAGCGCCAGATCTTCATTTAAAATTAACGTTTAGCTAAAAATAAAGATCATGATGTTGACTCTATGAATTATTACAAATTGCAGTTAAACTCTAGACTTAATAGACTAGAGACGAGTCTAGATTGTCTTTCTAGATCAACTTTATCTAGGCTAAGTCTAGGCCTAGACCCTAGACTTCTTTAAAACTAAATTTTATAATTAGAGATCTAGGTCTACACTTTTCTAATCATCCTGATCATCGATCTTCTCTATTTTGTTTTAACTTTTTTGAGATCCCAATTCTAATAAACATGAAAAAAAAATGATTTGGAATTAACCTAATGACTACATGTATGATAGATCTTGAAGGCAACCTAACCTTAGGCCAGGTTTAACTTGCATATGACGGAATGAAGCACGCTGAAATTACTTTGTCTTTTCTATTTACGAGTATGACCAAACTACATGTAAGTACTCCTTTACACAAAGTCAGTAACTTACACAGAACTGTACTCCATTACACAAAATCAGTAACTTACACAGGACTGATGTAGGAGTTGACTTTGGGTTTTCTATAAATTAGGACACAAAATGAAGCCTGATGTTATTCAAATGCATGCTCATGACGCTGCTCTCGAGAATGTGTCTCAGTTTAATTTCCCAAAACACCAGACATCATGCGATATTGATGACTGTGTTATCTTTCTAGGGTAATGCTGATGCACCTCAAGGGGCGGTAGGAGGAGGTGGAGGAGGTGGTGGAGAGGAGGACTGGGATGACTTTGGAGGGTTCGAAGGAGCCACGCCCGTTCCACCAGAGCTTAGCCAACAATCACCGGGGCCTGGGGTAGAGGCTAGCCCATCTCCTTGGGCTGCATTCTCAATGGGTGAGACCTTATTTAAATTTGAATTGAATTTATTTCCACAAAACATGAAATAAAAGTGAACAAAATGATACATGGTCAATCTAATGAAGTGGAGGGATAAAAAAGGGAATAGTTAGTTATCCCCTTACATAATTTACTTAATTTATTTGGGCTGTCCAAACTGTTGGGTCACAAAAGTGTGATATACCATCATGATAATGTGGCAGATTTTTAAGCTTCATATTCACAGTCTAATATTACAGATAGGTCATTCCATGGGGTTGGGGCAATTTTTGCGACATACCAGAAGTGAGAAACTACATCTCCTATCAACTGTAACAACTTTTGCTCAAAATGAGTTTAGCGTAAAAAGCATGGACAGTGTTGTATGTTTTGCCCCAACCCCATGGAATGATCTGGATGTGGTTTACAGTAACCAGAAGTTTAAATGATGAATTTTACCATTACTATAGGTGCAGCATGCCAGCCGGATCTTGTGATTGCGCAGTCTCGTCCAACACAGCCTCAACCAGATATTGATCCTACGTTTGCTGATCCTGTACCTCCACCGGAACTAGCATCACAGGTTTGTAGCAAGAGTAGTAGTAGGAGTAGTAGAAGTATTATTGTTACCAGTAGTAGTAGTAGTAGTAGTAGAAGTAGAAGTATTGTTACCAGTAGTGGTAGTAGTAACAGTAGTAGTAGTACTAGAAGTTACAGTAGTAGTGGTATTAATAATAGTAATAGTTACTTTAATAGTATTTGAAGTTGTAGAAGATCGAGAAGAAGATGAAGATGAAGATTATGAAGAAAAAGAAAAACAAGAAGAGAAATAATAAGAAGAAAAGTAGAACTATAACAAAAATAACTCAATAGGGAGGAGGAGGAAAAGCTCCTTCTTTCTTCATTTACATGTTTGTACCATTCAATTCAATTCAATTCAATTTCGGTTCTATTACAAATATACCAAATAAAAAGTCCAAAGACTAACAATAATTGGCTTACAATGTATCATATACAAATGCATTAAAAACAGTAGATTTAAAAATTCAGTAATAAGTTAAAGTACATTGCTCACATTGTATTATATAAAAATGCATTAAAAACAGTTGAATTAAAAATTTAGTAATAATTAAAGTATGAAGAAAAAGAAAAAAAAAGATTGTAAGATATAAAATGATGATAATCAGTTTGTCAGTGAATTGAGAAGAAAGAAGAAATAAAGAGTGAAAAGTGGAAGAGAGGGAGAGGGAAAGGATAACAAGAAAAAAGAGAGTTCAATTCGTGACAAAAAAAAGTAAGCAGATGAACGAGAATTGAGTTGATTCAGCTTAATGAAGCATTGTAAAAGTAAAATGCACATAATACGGAAATGTCAAATGATACATTAATACGAATGCCATTATGGAATTGTTATTATACTGTTTCTCACATAATGTTACTGCAGGCAGAGGCATCACTTCAGGCCCAGCAACAGGCCCTGCAGAACGGTACACCGGCTGCAGAAGCAGTGTCAGTAGAGGGCGCCCCATTCAACGAACCCAGAGAACGCCCTCTTGGCCGAGGAGGAGCTAACATATTGGAAGGCATTGACGTCAGTCTTGATGATGAAGAGGTGAGAGTTATGTGCTGTCAAATGTTATATACCTCTCTTTAGAAATCTACCATCTGATTTGTCGAAATTTCAGTCGTGATTTGAGCCATTCCCTTCATACCTGCCTACCAATCAATAGTCTTTTGAAAAGTGCCCTCATTCCCGCCTACCGGTCAATGGTCTTTTTAAAGATGCCCATTGCCCAGGGTAACAGGCCACATAAATCAATTGTGCTCAGATCCCCATTGGTTTACACGCCTCTGGGTCATGGCAAGATGTGCGGACTTTCCCTTGAGCATATAAAACAGCCAGGCCTCTCAAAGCAGTCGATATCTCTATACTATTTTCGTCAGATGATTGTCTATTTCATAAACAGTTTACTGCTGCTAAGGGCAATATTAAAATCATATCCCGGAGGTAATCTTGGGAATGCTTTTACCTTTAGATGGGCCATTCACCCTCTAAAATTTAATATGACCCGCAAATTAAATAAAAACTTGACTCTACAGGAGGTTGCAAGGCCAAGCGACATGATGGCTCCGCACGAGAACGGTCGTATCAGTGAATCAGAGGCAGCGGCGGCCCTGGACGGTCCACATGGAGCCCCAGCTCCAGTACCACAGGTACCAGCCCAGGTACCGGAGGGCCTGGATCTCAATGCTGGAGCCAGGAGGGCGGAGGTGGAGCTGACTGAGAGGGTGGTCCAGATGGAGCAGAGTTTGTCGGTGGCGGAGAGGGAGACCCTTCGCTTGCAAAGGGTAAGGTCTTGCACTAGAACCGTTGCAGTTGTAAATGGGTAGTTTTTCTATCGTTGACAATGAGTGATTTCAAGTGGGTGTTAGTGTTAGTGTTAGTGTTTAGAGCAGTCGAGACTTATATGACAAATATGTATTTATAGCTAAGCTTGTAAATTGTAGATTCCCTTGTGTGAATGTAGATTATGTTCATATACGTTTGAACATGTATATGCCTCCCTGAATCCGATGACCAAGGTAACAATATTTTTTTAAATGCTTAGGTACCGGTACATCATATAGCACCTTAACCAAGTACATCACGATTCTTATTATTCTAGGATAAAGAGGAGCTACAGAGGAAGATAGGGGAGCTAGAGCAGGAGGTCGAAGGTCAAAGGTTAGAATCTGAGCAGCAGCAGTCCAGATATAGAGAGGTACAGGCCAGACATGAGAGAGAGCTCGAGGAGATGAGACAAGCAGGTCACCAGGCTTTGGCAGTCATCGTAGAAGAATATAAGGTGAATATCAGTAGAGGTGTCGTAGTCGAGTGGTTTAAGTGCTTGACTTGAAATGCAAAGGTCGTGGGTTCAATCCCCAACACAGCACTAATGTCCTTTGGCAAGGCATTAATCTACATTTGCCACTCCAAACCCAGGAGAGGAATGAGGACCTGGTAGGATTACGAAAGCCTTTGTGTTAGTTATTGCAATAAGCCCTTACGGCGAACATATAGTAGGAATACTTCCCAGGGAGTAGAGATGGTGCAAATTGAGCGTGAATTTATCCAATGTCCAATGTCGTGGTAGGAAGAAATTCCTTGAATGCCTGAGCGCTTTTCATGGTAGCTTCCCATAAGCCGGGGTTATAATGTAGGGCCCTCAAGGAGAATAGTATTAAAACTGATGAGGCTACCCTGGGTAAATGATATTTTGTTGTTGTAATATTAGTTTTATAAGAAAGAAAACTACCCACCCTACATAAATAGTAAAGCTATAAACAATGTTTGTTTGTTTCCAGGAATTATGTAAATGTGCTGTTGCTGAGCAACAGGAATTGAGTGAGAAGCAGCTTCAGATGGCCGTCAGCAAAGAGATGGAGAAATGCCAAGAATTATTACAAGAACAGGTGAGTTACCGGTATACCAGGTGCCGTTTATCTACTTATGTGTGCCAGCATAGGCAAAGTTCCAAGATTATTAGTCACATTGCAGCCTCCTTCAGATATGAAACGGCGAAACCACAGCATTTAAAAAGTGTTTTTAATGATATATAGTGTATTACGCATCACGTTTCTCCATCTTATGACACAGAGCGTAGTTAATATACGCAAGTACATTCTTGCGCACAGTTACCATACATTTTACATGTAAAAAACATGTGACAGCTTTTTTGTGGGGTATCTGGACAAGCCTTAAAATTAACTTTGAATAACATGCATTTATTGGGTTTGTCTTGTGACAAGCCTTTTAACAAGCCCATTATCCAGTCCTTCATTTAATAAATTAATTTTATTTATTTATTTATTCTATTTTATATTTATTTTTGAAAAGCAGATCTTTTTGGTAATAATGTCACTAAAATGGCCTCCTGTCTGTATTTGTGGTTCTTTATGTGAAATAATGTTCACACATTTGGCATTCTCAACAACTCAATTGAAAGCCATACCATACTAGAAGCAGTACCTCAAAACAGTACCTCAAAACAGTGTCATTGATAAGGAGAGTGTGGCCAACCTGGTTCTAGTTGGACACAATATGGCGACTGCTGCTTTGTTGGGCAAGCACAAAACAAAAGAATATACGCCATGTTGTGACCCAGTCAAACCAAGTTGGCCAAACTCTGTGTATAGATGACTCTGCCTCAAAGCCCTCTCTAGCGCCATCTCAGGTCAGCTGTAGCAGTATGGGCCCGTAACTCCCTGCTCCCCTAGCTGCGCTGTTGGCTCTTGCCTCAAGTCCTCTATCCCCAAAATGGGAATTAGGTATTGGTATTGGTTTACGCACTGTTGGCAAGTTGACCATGAGATGGCGCTGTGCAATAAACGATTTGCTAGGGCAGAAAGTTCCTCGTATTGCTTTAACATTCAGTTTTATGTTTTATTTGTTTGTAGCATCAGAGGTTTGCGACTTGAAGCTTCTTGCTCCCTTTATATAGAAAACTTCCCCAATCGGTGCCTGTTGGTCCCCCATGATCCTCTTTTTCTTATGTTAATTGAGAGCCGAGTTGATGAGATAGCCACCTGTCAGTGACCTCGCTGGGTGGTCTAAACCCTTCTGGCCAATTTAGTACAGACAGCCTTTAACATTCAATTTGACGTTTATATGTTTATAGCATCAGAGGTTTGCGACTGCTCTTGAGGACGAGAGGAGTAAATCAGAAAGAAGGAGTGAGGAAGCACTTGAAGCCCAAGTAGAAACTCAAAGAACACATATAGCTGAATGCTTAAGAGAAGAACAGGAGAGGAGTAGAGCTGAAGTCAATAAATTATTAAAGGTAAGGTAAAGGTTAAAGGTAATAAAGTTCATTTACATTCAAACCTGTCTATAAAGGCCACGCAAGGGAACAGAAAATGTTGCCACTGTAGAAAAGTGGACTTTCTTTACAGGTTCTACAATGCACATTTCTTTCTCAAGGGAGACAAAATACATACCCACTATAAAGTGGTGGCCTTTCCAGACAGGTTGCCACAAGGACAGGTTTGATTGTATATTTTGTTAAAATTATTTGCTTGAAATTTTTGAAGGGCTTAGTGCTGACTAGAAATCTCAGGGTAGCTTGTTCTAGACTTGCCCAGAAAAGGCTTTAAAGTGTACAAATCACATACAAATAAAATAATTTGTGTACAGCTAGAATGTATAAAATCTTCATCCGGCATTCTATTGGCTAACTGATAATGAGTATGAAGAACAAAAAATCTTACATTTTCTTTCCTTTCAAAAACAAAAGTAAAAGACGTGTACATTTCCGTTTGACATATCTTTCAGGAAGCCCAGGCAGAGAGTCAAACAGCCATGGCAGCGGCTTTGGGAGTAGAAACAACTAAATACTCAGGAATGATAGAAGATAAGCTGGAGGAGGTTAGGCAAAGGAATGAAGAACAACAGAAGAAGCAGAGAGAGACGATAGAAAAGGCTTTGACAGAGGAGAGGCTGAAAAGCAGGGTGAGTCTCTTGTTGATTGCTAGGTCAACCCTTTTGCGACAATCAATCCACATTTCATGCTTTGGTAAAATAACTTTTGATTTAGAGCCCTAAAAAATATGCAAGATGCATGAGCAGAAAGTGCAAAAAACTCTGCACATAACCAGAGATGCCAACTGTTCCGTTTTTGCCGTATTTGTTCCGTTTTTTCGCTATGAATACGGCAGTACTTTTTTTGTATGTTTTGTTACATTTTTTTTTTTTTTTTTTTTTTAGTGACGTTTTTCTTAATTTCTGATCATGGGCTTTGTGTCGTAAGTGTATTATGCACCTACATCTTCAAACGATATACGCAGGATGGTGATACGGGCCCCAAACTGCGCACATTGCGAACAACCCACCTGTAATGTATGCACGTCGCGCTCCGATCTGGGTACGTATACGTGGTACTGCCGGGTTTTTTAAGCTGCTCGATTGGGCGATATGTTAAGTTGAGAGATTTTTTCAAAAATACTGTTTTTTGCTCTTATGAATACTTTTTTTTGTTGAAGAAGGTTGGCATCTCTGCATAACTGCACCTATTTTTGTTTCATGACTATCTGGTGTTTGATGTAAAGAATTTTAAAAAGGAAAATAAGCTTGAGAATCCTTAAATTGGCAACACAATGATAAATTAAAAATCAATTTTTTTAATCTAAATTGGCAATTTTTCAATTTTTTGACAATATTCCTGCCCATGACTGTTTTCAGGGACATAAGATTTTATTTTACTAATGTAGCAATAAATGGAAAATATTTATTATTGCCAATTTGAAGGACACTATGTGATCAATTGAGTCCGCAAAATAAATCCTGTCCTGGAAGGGTTGATTAATTAAAGGATTGATTTGAAGGATGGCTCATTAACAGATTGGCGATGGTAGAGATCAACAAATGGATGAATGGATAGGTGGATTGGGTGAGAGAAGGATGATAGAATAGAGGTGGGATGGATGGAAGGATGGATAACTGGTGGGTGGAAAGATGAATGGATGGATTGGGGATTCATGGCTTGATAGATAGAATGGTTGATAGATTGATTTGTTGATGATATTTCAGAGGTCGACTGACAGATCAATCCATCAATAGAGATATTTAACTGGGTGGTTTGCTAGATGGATTAAATGGTTAACCATTAATGGATTCACGACTTGTTGATTTATCAATAAAGGATGGATGAGTACAATAAATTGATTGGTGACATTAATGGTCTGAATGACTGATTGATTGATAAATTGGCGAACTTTTAAGTTGTACCATACACCTTCCCCAGTCATGTATACGAAGTGCTTGCAAATGAAACCTCCAATCATTAAGACTCTTTATATCCTGCAAGATCTCAGTTCTCTCCGTCATGTCCGACAATTGAATTTCCTTTCTGTCTTTGTTTCTCAGGAAGCACTTCAGAAATCTTTAGAAGAGGAGAGAGGTCATCACCAAGAAGCCATCAAGAGAGTGGTAGAGCAAACAAGAGACGATTCCATCCAATACTGCAGGGATCAACAAAAGGTTTGTTTACAGATATGTTCTTGATTAACCCTCTGATTGCTTTGGTCGCCTCTCTGCACAGTCGCTCGTCTTCCACACATGCAATTTTGCACAATATGATTATAGGCACTGATTGATGGAATAGCTTTGTGCAACATACAGCCTTTTCACACACTGCTAAAATTCTATAAACATGATTAGTTTAAAGGGCTTTAAACTAATCACCTGAACATACGACATCATTCACACACAGAAATTTCGGTGCGATCGTTCATCGTTTCGTGATTAACTACTGCTCGTAAAATGCGCAGTAGTGCCATTGCGCATTGAAGGTCATGTCATATCAATCAAAGCGCACGCTCCATCCTGTTTAAACTCGTCTGAAACACGTTTAAACACGAATAACCTTTCACACACAAAATGTCAAGCTGTCTAGATACGAACTTCGTATCTGCAGCCTGCTTTTAGGGGCGTATGAATCGCGACTTCGTATCTATCCCAACATCGTTATAACGATGTTCACACGGAAAATTTTCTATAAACATGTTTAAAACTGTTGAGTTAAAGATAAACTTGAGTTCTGGTAATGCGATTGCATTGTGAAAGAAAAGGTGTGGAATGGATCGGAAAAGTTGATCATATAGCATGTAAGTAGTGGTGTGTAATGCAAGGTTCTGGAGTCATCAAAATCATCATAAATTTGGCAGAGTCTTGGTAAAGTAACAATCACTTACACAGAAAGATGTATATGGGACAACACACATGGTGTCGGGGCTAGTACTACCCTGATTTCCTTATCTTTATATGCTCATTACTCAGCCAGTATACATTTTCTTCCAGAATTGTTTGGCACATGACATTTATTTGTAATCTTGAATATTCAGTGCAAGTTTTGTTAGATTTTGTGAGAATTCATTTTCTTTTTTTACCAGAACTCAGGTTTATCTTGAAACACGTTTATACTAATCATCTCTAGATACGATTAATTTTAGCTGTGTGTGAAAAGGCTGATTATGGCTTTGCAAAATTATGGATAGTAGACGAACGGGTTGTAGATCAAATGGCAATAAACCTATATAAGATTAAAGGTATAGACCAGTTTGAAACGCCCCCCTCTCAAAAAATGAAATGGAAGCTCTTATTACCAATCATGTGAATAATATGTTTTGACTAATACGTGATGATACAAATTTTGCTGGGAAACCGCCTACTAATTGATATATTTTATATAATTTATGATGGAGATATAATTTATGATGATATGTTTTGACGGAGATATAATTTATGATGATATGTTTTGACTAATACGTGATGATACAAATTTTGCTGGGAAACCGCCTACTAATTGATATATTTGGTAAATTATTATATCTATCCGGAATGGATAGATATTGCATATACATCCTTCTGTGTACAGTGTTTGTAACTTTACCAAGACTGGGCCAAATTTCTTATCATTTTGATGATTCCAGAACCTTGCATTACACACCAATATATGCTAGATGATGAACCATTTCTGATCGATTCCACAACGTTTCTTTCACACTGCAATCGCATGACCTGAACTGGTCTATACCTTTAAGCCTATACATACCTGTTTTGTTCTTCTACAGGCTGATGACTCTTTGAGGCAGCGCTCGTTCATCACCATGGACTTGTTCTTGGAGAGCATGCGTAAACAACTGCAGGTCCTTCGGGAACAGGGAACATCTGAACTAGGCAAAAATCATCCGTCATCGTCCTCCTCTTCCTCGTCGCAGTCAAGCAGCAGCGGCCATCAAGGTCAAGGTTCAAACAGCAACGGAGCTACAAACTCCTCGTCATGATGATTATGAACTATGCAGTTTGATTGTGTTACGATCTCACGGAATGTAGTCACCAGTGGGCCCTGTTTTACAAAGAGTTGATATCAATCGCAACTATGTACTTAAGAGATAGGAGACTGCAAACTTGCGATTAATTGGAGGACTTGCGATTGATTTGGATTGATCGTAACTCTTTGTAGGATGGGCCTTAGGAAGGGTTGGCAAAGGATTTGGCAGCACAGTGAATGGAGAAACAGTATTTATTAGATAGGCTATTTAGGCTACTGATAAATTTGATAACGTGATCATGAGATTGTAATGTAAGTAAACCAAGATATTTTTCAAGGATAATTTATGGATCAACACAACGATTGTTCAACTAGGTACATGTATTTATGATGACTGAAACAGTCGCTCTTTAAAGCCCCACTGCACTACTTATAGCTACTTGCGCCCTCTATATCGCGAACAACGCCTAATCGGTGACCCTTGTTCCCCCATGATTCTCTTTTTCTTATGTTAATTGAGAGCTGATTTGATGAGATAACCACCTGTCAGTGACCATGCAGGGAGGTCTAATCCCTCCTGGCCAAACTAGTGCAGAGGGGCTTTAAGTGAATGAGCACATGAAAAATGTGAACTAGAAATCTACAGGAATCTATGAATATACAACTCTGACATCAAGCTGCTCGAGAACCATTCCCCCCACCTCATTAGGGTATTTGCCAGTAGCAGTTGAGTTCACAATGATCTAAATATAGAAGAATTTTATCTATTTTATCCATCATCGTGCAAGTAATGAGCACTTGGTGTTGATTCACATCAAAGAAATGCACCACTATATCAGTGGCATATTGGAAAAGGGATTTGCCAGCGGGTCAATGCAAGTGATATGTAAAAACTATTTGGCTGAAACGTGGAGGGGTCGTGGTTGAGTGGTTCATTCACTTGACTGTCAATCCGAGGGTTGGAGGTTCAAATCCCAGCCTGGCACTAACATCCTCCAACAAGGCATTGGTCCACTTTTGCCACTCTCCACCCAGGTGTAAATGGTTACCGGATATGCCAGAGCGTCAGCTTTGACAGGCATAATAAGTTTGGAGCGCCAGCAGGGACCCGCTTCACAAAACCTATGTTCAATGACCAATGCCAAAAATCACTGACAAATTTTCTGATAACCAATCAGAAGCAAGGATTTCAGTAGCTTATAACAAAACTGTCATTTGTCACTGATGGCCAGTTTTATGAAACACCCCCCCCCCTGGAGTGTCATTGAGTGACGGACTTGTGCATTATATACTGTAAGAAGCCACCATTATAATTCTTATTATTGAATATGATGACAAATCTGGTAGCTTTAAATTAGATAAATAACTTGCTACACCTGTTCACTTGCCTTGGAACTTTCCTAAACAAACAGTTGAATGGAAATACATTACTTGTATTCAACAATAAAGTGAGTCTCTATATTGGAGCCCCTGCATTGGGAGGACCAAACCATGTGAAAAGATACATTTATAGGACATTTCATCTCCATGTCATGAATAGCGCATACATCCATTGTCGTCAACAATTCAAATTTATTTAATCGTGCATGTACATTTTTCAATTATTTACTTTATTGAATTAATTCATAATTCATTGTTTATTCGTGTGTGGACCCAAGTAATAATGTATTCATCATGTTTTCTTCCGCAATATAATGTTTATGTTTATCACTGCTTTTGAGGGGTAAGAATCTATCAGATAAGTAGCTGTAAACAGCAGTGTTCTGTTTTTTAATGAGACATAAAATTGTAATTCACTTCATATTTCTGTATCTCATAACACAGAGCTCAGTGAATACGCATAGGACCTTTGTAGTGCGCAGTTGCTATTCATTTACACATCAAAGGTACTATGTCCCTTTTGCAGGCCAAAAAAAATGAAAAGGTTAAATTCCAACGGCATTTGAAAGACAATACTAATTTAGAACTTTCCTAAAAATAGGGGGAAAATAACGAATATTAGTTGTCGAATTGACTTAGGAGCTATAGAGCCAGTAAGTAATAGTCTGATTTTTCAGACCACTGTACCGAATGGTCGTACGTTTTATGCTGCACAAAGATTCCATCAGTTTAATTTTGGCCTTTACAAGAATTGGGTTATTGATGTAGACAAATGCTCATGTACCCTTTACAGCTCATTTTATGTATGTTATTACCAAAGATGAAAAAAAGTCAGTCAGTCACTCAATAGTGTCTGACAGTGAAGTCTAGCAAATAAACAAGTTTCCTTGCATAATTTGAATATTAGGACACTGCTAACGTTTAAATTTCACAGATAGGACATACATGACATATTCATAATTACTGCAACGTTCTACAGAATTCATTGTTGGCTTCAAAAGGGACCTGTATCTTAAACAAAAAAAGCTGCAGAAATTTTTGTTTTCTTCCAGTGATTTACCGCATTATATCTGAACAAGCCCTAAGGGAAAAGATTATGTTGGTTTAATTTTTGTACAAACATATTGTTGGATTAATTTGTCAACAAAATTATTTCCCCCTTTCTAATTAATGGACATTTTGTATTGATTGTGTTACTGTCCTTCACTGCCAGTTAAAGGGGAAGTCCACCCTGATATTAAGTAAATTTAGGTTTTAAGAAAAGCAGAAACATGAGAGAAACAAATAAGTGAAAGTTTGAGCAATATCTGATTGAAAAATAAGAAAGGTATGAGTTTTTTAAGTTGTCATCAGTGGAACACAATTGGCAACATTGTGACGTATCTTGCCAGCTCCTCGCCAATTTACTCTGAACTTTCATTTTTGTAGTTATTGATGATGGAATAGATTTGATCCATACAGGGGTTGCATAGAAAACATTTTTGCAATTATTATGGTTAGGGTGAATGTATGATTTAATATTTTCTTAGGGGAAAATATCATTTTTTTGAAGTTTTTAAGTTCAGAGCAGATGGGAGGGGATCTCCCAAGATACGTCACAGACTTGCCAATTTGTTTTTGATTGATCGCATGTCAATAATGCATAACTGTCTTATTTTGAATCGTTTTTATCCAAACTTACACTGACCTTATTTAATTATTTTATCAATCAACCTTATTTACTGGGTGTAAGCCACACATATGTTTAAATAATTGAAATTTCTCCATTTACATTACATTTATAAAAAGTTACATTGATCTGTTTCTCTCATTTTTCTTTTCCAATTACAACTAACTTAATATCAGGATGGACTCCCCTTAAAGACAGATCAGATGATGATGACATTTATTGAAAGTGCAATAGATATATATCGCTTATGTACGACATCATTGCTTGTAATTATTAGAAAGTGCATAGGTGTAATTATACAATTTCTAAGTTGATGATAAAGAATATAGTTATGCCCTAGGCTTATGTAAACATATGATATATCCATATAAAGTGGCTTACTGCTAATCATCGGGTCATCGCGTCCGGTCGGTTGGTCACGTTACTCGACCTTTCATGAAACGAAAGCGGAAGGTGACAATACCTTTTTACAGACTTGCCGTAGGTTTTTCACAAAGTGTCGGGTAGATCAGACTAGACCATTTGAAGATGAGAGGGGTTTATTTCCCCAACATTTCCTGAATAAAGGGACATGTTTTCACAAAAGGTCAGGTAACACAACCACCCTACCCGACGTGATGATCCAATGATTCGAAGTTAGCCATTTAAAGTCAAGCTGCATCTCTCAATAGCAATGAATACAATTAGTTATGTGATGGTATAGTTTTTCCTATTGCTTGAAAAACAATCCTTTCTTTAGATAACGCTAATAGTGCCACCAACTTTTCCAACATGTATGATAAATATATCCTCCTCTGTACCGCTAGTATTGTGAAAAATTGTCCAAATGAATTTTGATGAGTCTAATTTAGGGTCTTAACTCTGGTATGTACATGTACCTGTTTCTACTTTAACGACCGTATTTTGAAAACGATATCTTTTATACGTGGGAAAATCATGTTGATTGTTATAACAAACTAAAAATATGCGGAACTAACATTTATGTTTAATCTTTACTCTCCTTAATACTCTTTTCCGTTAACCCATAGAAAGCCGGGTGAAAGTTCTTTTAGGTTTATTTTATATACCCTATTAGTACACAAATTTTTGTGTAGGTGCGTGGTACACATTAAAGGCATACATACATGTATATTATCTATTTGGATATCTTCTACCGGTAGTCAGATCTATATATACCATTCAAGCTGGTCAAACTTTGCCTGCTCAAAGTTCAATTTCTCTGCAGACTTAGTCTGTTCTTTGTTTGCCAACCAATTATTCAATTTTCCATGTTAGATTATGCTCTCCACACCCCCGGGGTTTTTCATTAACAAATAGTGACGTTATCATATTCTCCTATTGTAGCTTGTAATAAGCAAATATTGTATTTAGTTTTGTATTCATTATATTCAGATGTGGATTCAGTAGAAGAGGAGGCTTGTTATCTAATTATTTATCATATTTCTGTATATTTGAAATAACATGTTTGCCAGATTAGATGTCGATAAATACTTCAGAGCGAATAGTGCGTTAACTTTGTGTTAAAGGGCATGTAACTGATGAGACTGTGTCTTTCCCATGGCCTGACTCAGGGCCAATAGGGTATTATACAAATACGGACGACGCGACCGCAGCAATCAAGTGCATGCAACATACGCAAAACCGAAGCGTAAGGAGAACTTTGGTTTTCTTCGCAAATGCTGACCATGTAGAGATTAAGTCGCTGACTACTGTTAATCAAGTCCATTTACATGCAGTTGTCCATAAGGAGACGTAGATGGCGTTCCCCTGTATTCGTCAGTTTACACTCCGTTTAAAGTATATGAGAAACATCACTCTGGTTCTAAACAGACTATATTTTCCTTTATAAGATATTTAGAAATACATGTTGATCAAGATCGAAGACCCTTGTTTATACACATATGAATACATAGGCAAATTGTTTAAATTTTTGTTTTGTTGTGTCCAGTTCTTCTTCTTCCAGTATAGTACAGACCGCCGTTGGCGTATTATCTTACCTAGTACTTTTCGAGTGCCGAATATACTGTAGTGCAAGTAAAATGGTGTTACAATTAGAACTCTGTGAACAGCTAAAAGAAGAAAAACATAGTTCATGGATATATCATTTAAGATGGCTGTTTTGTCAGAAACAAAAAACCTACAACAAATTGCAAATGTTAGATTGCAAACGTCTTATATAACTGCATTTATCATCCCAACTGTATGTTCATTATATATTTACGGTATACCTATACGTAATGAGAGTAAATTCATGCATACATTCCAGCTACCAGTTGTAATGACTCTTGCACACACACAAAAAAAAGACTTTGAAAAATAATTGCAGCAAATAACGCATACAAAAGATTTGCTTGACAAAGAAATTTCCATTATTTGGTACAGTGGAGCAGAATGTCCCGTTAAATATTATGACTGCCTACAAGCGGTTTTTGCAGACTTGTTAATGGAAGTACAGGTACTTGTAGAAAGAAAATGACTCCTTGATACTTCTGCTGTTTACAAGAGATCACTTAATTCATTAGTTTCATTATTTGGGAGAATTAGTTTTGAAGCCATATTGCAGTTGTCTCTTAGATATGAATTATCTATGGCACAGCTCTGCATAAACTTTATTTGAATAGACAATTTTCGTTTTGTAATCAATGTAATGCATACCGGTAAGTCTTTGTGAATTGCCTTGTTACAACTTATTTCATTCATCCATTACGCGTAATAATTGTATTTCAATAGTCTGAGTGCAAACAGCATACATTAGTTGTTGCTAGGTAGGGCAATCCATACTATTTGTCCTACCTAGTATTTAACAACAAGTGTATATGCAATTCACATGCTGAATATTGAAGTATCGTGATGCATAAGACTGAGGTGAATGAAATAATGTGTATCGGGCACGTCATCACAAAGATTTATGCATACAATTTGAAAATAGCTGTGTAATTCCCTTCCATTTTGTACGACTTTTGTGTGGTATGTGATCATGAATATTCATCAACTCATCGATTTCAAGAATCTGAATTCTTCTGTGACTGTAATAGTCAGATGGTATAGGTTTGGTTTAGATGATTTAATTAAACAAGATTATTTGTCTCTAATCAAGGTGGTAGGAAATAAAAGAAAGAGAGAAATTGATATTTGTGTTTGTTTTGTGTTTTTGTTCATTTGTGCATTTGTGCATGTAAATATAATTGTATGCTAAGGATTTAGCTATTTTTAAAATTATGAAACCGGGGGGGGGGGGGGGAGGGAATCTGATATGATTTATACTTAATATTGTACTTATAGTTTTCAGAAAACAAAAAACTGAAAACTGCAGTGGATAACTGGCAAAATAACATGCCTTTTTTTTTTTTTTTTTAATCTATTTATTTATTCATTTATTTATCTACAAATGCAAATTACACTGTTTTTCGTTACTTGGTTATTGTATTCATTTGATCATTCACTTTTTGTTTTCATACACTGATCAATTTCGGGACAATGCAAACAAGATATTGGCATATTTAGACAATAATTTAAATGCCTGGGCTAAAAAGCAAGATTTTTTGGTCTCTTGCTTCAGCTCTTCGCTTAGATCATGTGACCTCTCGCGTACATACAGCATGTGTACATCACTGTCAGTTTTTCGCCGACTAACTAGACCCCTAGATCTAACTGCTGAATGAGAAATTCCTAAAACCAACTGCATTCCAGCCGTTAGATTAACAAAAAGTGGTGAGTCAATATGAACAATAGAATAGCTTCTTTTTTCATTAATACTGAACGTGTAAATAAGTAAACGGTTGCAATCAATTGTTATTGAGTAAAAAGCAGCCTGGGCCTGGGCTGTGTTTTTAGCGAGTGTTTAGTGTAAAACTGCCCTGGTCCGCCGGCCCAGCTTAATCGCAGGGTAGGCCCGGAATAAATGATTGGCGAGCGCGATGGCGCCGCGCCGCTGCCATTCACATTGAAACTGTCTGATCGATATTAACATCTGTGTTATTTTTTATTTTATTTTTCTATTAAGATATACACCAGACGGCAGCGCCTAAACTAAAGTAAAAAAAATAATTGTAATATTCCTGCAATCGTGGCTGTAGACCTAGACCCCCTAGGCCTATACTTTTTTTCTTTTTCTGGCTTCTCTCGTTGTCTCGACAATCTGCAAATGTCATAGGGTCTACATCACTCGTCACTGGCATCCGGAGCTCTCACCGAACTGAATTTTGTGTTGATGATTTTATGTCTGTCGGTAAATCACCATCATCCGTTATTTGATGAAGAGAATAGATTGTACAATGAGAAAAAGATAATTGTATGTACTTGCTGCGGCTGCCTTGACGTTGAATGCTGGAATTACATTTTTGCATGAATTTATATGAAATGAAATGCATAGTGGACTCTAGAAGGTGCCAGAAAGCTGCATAGGTTGAATAAGCAACACCACAAAGTTTAACAAACACTGAAACAGGCATCCATAAACCCATTTCGAGGACTAAACGTACCAGTATAGTAATTGGACAATAGTGTTTGTATCGGTACTTAAAATGCATAGACCTACTCCAAAAGTTTTCCCTTGAATATAAATCACATCAAACAAGTAAGCTGTTGATCGTCGAGTAACGATATTATTTACAGAAAATAAAGAAAGGCAGAGGGGGAGGGGAAATGAAAACAGAAAAGTAAGAAAAAGGAAAAATTAGTACAAGCACTGTGAAGCAGGATTAAACTATTGTAAACAAAAAATCTTAGGTCTAACACCTCAAACACTCGGCCACTGTAGGGCCTACTTAATAATAATAATAATAATATTTTAGCTTTTATATACTGTAGCGCTTATCACAAATGTCTCGAAGCGCTTTACAAATATATTATTACCCCGGTCATTGGATTCAGTGCTTGCCCGCACACATTGTGTGCACAATCTCCACTTGTCTCAAGCGCTTCATAAAAGATACCTACTTAAAAGGAAAAAATGGAGGGGGGGGGGAGAAATGAAAAAGAAAAAAGAGGTAATTCAAAAGAAATTTTCAAATGATTCGCCTCCTATTCACAAAAGTGCTTATTTATTTCCGGTGATGTGCACAAGTATGGTCATTGTTGTGGAAAAACATGCAGTGCAATTCTTGTCTACCGTATATCTTTTACATCAAAATTAATTGAAGAAAGCATTTAGCATACATGTACCTTTGCTTTCCTGTATGTCTAACTCCCCATGCATCACCTTGTTTCTTGGGTCACATGATATTTTAAGATGAATTAGAAAAAAATGTAAAAGACAGGATCTCTTCCTGCCCCTGAATTCAATCACTCCAACACTATCTACATGTACCGGTATACAAACATGAGTATGGATGAAAACATCTGGCCACTTTGTCAGTCCACTTTTGCCTTTATAGGTCAATCAATGCAAATTTTTGAGAAATTTTGAAAATTGGATGGATAGTAATTCTTTAAAATGTTGAAATATTTGGATGCCCTTGTGGAATAATGAGCACTAGAAAATTTAGCCCCCAAAACATTTCTGCTTTAGAGCAAATTGAATAATCAAAATATTTCAAATAGCGCCTAAGGCCATTCCATGGTACATGTAGCTGCGACCATGAAAATCTCAGAATATGCAGTTCTGATACATAATTTTCAGACGGGAATACCAAATCGGTCATTTGTAGTCAAGAAACATTGTTTTAAAGCTGACGTAATGTCAGTCTTGAGAGGGAGCTACACTGTATACAACATTAAGAGTTTATTATTTACAATTTCAACACTTTAGACTCGATTTCAACCGCGACAACGATCATTGAATATTGTAAAAGTGCACATGCTTCCAACATGTTCATTTGACTCCATGACCCCATACCAAACTTTGTATTAGTACAATTACCTTCAAGCTTTCTCCTCCAGGGGAACGCCTCTTGTCTAAAGTCTAATTGAGTACATGATAGGTAGATAAGCAGGGCTCAAGTTCAAAACAATTTGAGTGATCAAGAAGAAAAACATAATATTTTGACAAGTTTCAGAAGCAGAATGAGTTCATCTTAATGATCTTATTCCTAGTTAGGAACTTATTTTAGTACATTATGTACAATATGTACCCTATCTATCTCAATTGATAATCAGTGAATAACTATTAATCCAACAGCAAATCAATATATAGCAAAATGTTTTAAGGTTGTTTTTGATTGGATAAATGAATGATGACCTTTTTCTTTAAATGAAACCTTCTGTCTGTTTGTTCGTTTGTTTGAAGGAATTTGGTGGCTGAGATACGACCAAGCCTTGGACAATCTTCACCGGATTCCAGCATCAAGATCGGAAACCATGACTGCTCTAGGAAGACTCGCCTTGACAGAGACAATAAGAAGGGGTTTGCTCCAAGCCAGTGCATCTTCACTATGCAGAAACACAGCTCTATGTTTGTCAACCCTGCCCGATACTGGAACCAAGATGCTAGCGTGGCAGATCGATGCCTACGGTGGAATAGATCGTATGAAACTTGTGGAGAAAGCTGTGCCCATAATCACCAAACCAGACCAGATCTTGATTAAAGTCCATGCAACAAGCATCAATCCTATAGATGTTCGTATGCGAGGTGGCTATGGGGCTAGATTATTGAACCGTATACGAGGTGTCACTAAAGAAGGTGATGAGCTCCCGCTTACTCTCGGTCGCGATTGCTCAGGGGTGATCGTGGACATGGGCCGACTTGTAAAGGGATTTGATGTTGGCCAGGCAGTGTGGGCCAACGTCAATGGAGCGCATCAAGGTACACATGCGCAGTATGTCCTGGTGACAAAGAATGACCTTTCTAAAAAGCCGGAGAACCTCACCCACGTTGAAGCGGTTTCGATAAACTATGCGGCCATCACAACGTGGAGTGCGGTATACGCTGTGGCAAAGATACGACCTGAGAATGCTGCAGACAAGCGAGTATTGATTCTTGGAGGGTCTGGAGGCGTGGGATCATTCGCCATTCAGCTCTTGAAGGCCTGGGGTGCTCACGTCACAACAACCTGCAGTGCAGAAGCCAGAGAATTTGTATCCAGTCTCAACCCTCACCAGATAGTCGATTACAACAGATCGGACGTGGAGTCTGAGCTGAAACGAATCGGTCCTTTTGATTTCATCCTGGACACGGTAGGAGGAAATACGGAGCAATATGCCATGAAGGCAATGAACAAAGGTAAAGGAGCACAGTACGTGACGCTAGTCTCACCATTAATGGTAGAAACTGATAAGCAAGGTTTGGTGCGGGGTAGTCTCTCTGCTAGCTGGACTCTGTTTAACAAGACCAGGCAGGCCAGCAAATATGGCGGGAAGTACCGATGGTCCTTTGCGAATCCCAGTACTTACGCTCTGAGCGAAGTGGCAAAACTTGTTGAGGATGAGCTGATTCGACCGTGTGTGGAGGAAATCTTTCCTTTTACGGAGTTGCCTGAAGCGTTTGCAAATATCGAGAAAAGGAGTGCGCGAGGGAAGACTGTAGTGAATGTTGTCGGACTAGAGAAAAAGGTGCCCAAATCTGCTGATTTCTACATGTCACAATAAGAAAACGGCTCTAAACACTCACTATCAACCATAATACCATGGAAACTTCCAATTAAATACAATTATTTCATATCTTATATGAATTTTAGAATCAGGTTTCTCTTGTAAGAGTTTTACATTGTGGATTTCAAATGTTCTGAAGAACTGCATTGTTTTTATTAATTATACTTTCTCAATTGATATTTGATATAATGCAGCTGTATGTAATATCAGGAATGTCAGAAATTATTGAAACATAGTGTCACCCATTTATAGGTCATGAAACAGGCTATGAAACAAACTAAGTCTGACGTCCTGTAGCTGCGAGAACATCATCTGAAATATTCCAGAGTGAAATATTAGAAAAGAAACCAACAACAAACTAAAAAAAGTAGAATGACACTAAAAGATGTATTCAAATTCATTCCCAGTGCAAGCTGTTGTAGAATTATTTATGTTGTTACAAGACAAATTTGCTTTAATTTTTCACAACCTATTGCTATGCCTGATATCCTGATATTTATCATGATAAATCTCTATTATCATGGATAATGTCGTTTGTAAAAAATGTTGCATTTTCACTGATGTTAATGTATCATTATTAATTAATTTATACATCCATTTTATCCACTATGATTGTAAAAGAATCTGCAATTCGGCTATCTGGCCGGGGATGATTTCTTATCAATAAACTGGTTTAAATAGAAATGAATAATTAAATAAATGAACCGTGGACGGTACATGCTAAGCTGTTCCCACAAAGTGTCCACGATAGTGCATAAAGCATGTGGTCCTAAATGCTAAGCATTATGGTCTTCAGCAGGCCCGTAGCCAGAGTTTGATGTTTGGGGGGGGGGGGGGGCACATGCATACATGTAGTGGATCGAGGTCAAAAAGGGTCTAAAAAAGTTCAACTGATCTTGGAAATTGTTGGGGGGAATGTGCCCCCCCCCCCTGCCCCCACCCTTGCCCCCCCCCCCCCAGTGGCTATGTGCCTGGTCTTCAGAAAAAGGGAAAAAAACGCTGAGAGCAAATTCACCCCCCCCCCCTCCTCCCCCTCCTCCCCCTTTGACAAGGGGTGCGAACAAATGTATTAAAGGTAAAGACCAGTTTTGGAAACGCCCCCTTTCAAAAAATGAAATGGAAGCTCTTATTACGGTACCAATCATGTGAAAGAATATGTTTTGACTAATATGTGATGATACAAATTTTGCCGGGAAACCGCCTACTAATTGATATAATTGGTACATTATTATTTCTATTTGGACCTGATAGATATCGCGTACGAATCATGCACGTGTCGCGTAGTCCCATATACATCTGTCTGTGTACAGTGCTTGTAGCTTTACCAAGACTGGGCCAAATTTCTTATCATTTTGATGATTCCAGAACCTTAAAGTACACAACACTACTTACAACGTTTCTTTCACAAAGCAATTGCATGATCAGAACTGGTCTTTATCTTTGAAGGCAGGCCTTTCTACTTCAGCTAGAAGGGATTAGACCACCCAGTCGGCCAGAGAGGTCACTGTGACAGGTGGCTATTTCATTAACTCAGCTCTCATTAACATAAGAAAAAGAGGATCATGGGGACCAACAGGCACCGATTGGGGAAGTTTTCCATAAAGAGGGAGCAAGTAGCTACAAGTAGGACAGTGTGCCTTTAAAGGGAAAGTCCACCCCCAAAATAAGTTTGTTTCGATAGAGGCAGAATAATAAGAAAATCAGGTGAGTGAAAGTTTAAGCAAATTCTGAACGAAAATAAGAAAGTTATGAATTATTGAAGTTGTGATCAATCAAATACAAATTGGCAACTCCGTGACTTATTAAACGAGCTCTCCTCCATTTGCTTTGTGCATAATATTCCATAAAATCATGTTTTCTTCGTTATTGATGACGGAATATATATTTGTTCCTTGCAGGGGGAGTATAGAAACATATTTGCAATTATTATATTTAGGGTGCATGTATGGTTGAAATTTTTCTTGAGGGAAAATGAAAATTTTAGATTTTTTTAGTACTGAGCAAATGGAAGTTGAGCTCGCATGATACGTCATAGAGTTGCCAATTTGTGTTTGATTGATCACAACTTAAAAAATCCTAACTTCCTTATTTTTAATCGGAATTTGCTCAAACTTTCACTGACTTGTTTCTCTCATTTTTCTACTCCTATTAAAACAAACTTATTTTGGGGGTGGACTTTCCCTTTAAGCTTGTCAATGCATACATGTACGTGCATTTCAACCATTACAACTGTTCTGGTCCTTGCAAATTGCCCTTTTGGATGCTGCAAAGTCATTATGTACAATTATTCCAGTTCTGACTACAGGTATTTTCTGCCTAGAAAAAGCCTGTCCACAAAGTCTATCTCATGATGTAACCATGCAGGGTATCAGCCACTACAGACTTGTGTAGAAGCCTAGAAGGGCATGTGCATGAACAAAACATATTTGTATGGAATAATATGATTTTACGGACTCTTGATCCTAAATTATAACACAGTGTTCTATCAGTTTCTTTTGTGGAAGATGTACATAATGTCATTTCATGGAGATTGATTAGTCTGCAAGCACAAACCCTGGTCAGTCGTAAACGTAAGTCTGCACTATAAGACTACTATAGGCCATGTACTATAGCTGCTATTGACACAACCAGTAGGTAGCTTGGCTAGGCTTCTCTCAAGGCACAATTATTTTTTGAGAAAGTGTCAAATTAGGGTCTGTGCTTGCAGACTAGAGATTGATGATGACTGTATTTGACCACCTTGACAATGGTTTAAGTTTTTCAAGACAACTTTGAAAATAAATGCAATACAATTAAAATACACACGTAAGACTCATCTGGATCATCATTGTGTTATCGTGTTTTCGATAAAAAGGATGTTGTGCGCGTGCAGCTGTGAATGCAATGCTAGTTCAGTAGTGAATGCAATGCTAGTTCAATAGTGAATGCAATGCTAGTTCAGCTGTGAATGCAATGCTAGTTCAGTAGTGAATGCAATGCTAGTTCAGTACAGTCACAAATCAGCTTCTCTCATTTTTCTTTTTTTTATTAAAACCAAATAAATAATGTGTCTTGCAAAAAGACATTTGTTAGGGTATTGAAAGAGAACTCTCACTCGATCAGAAATGATAGATTCATACATCTGTTTGCATGTACAAGTAGCTAGTAGGTAGTAGCTGCTGCTTAATAATAATAAAAATAAAAACGGTGCTTATAAAGCGCTCACCACCAAAGTCTCTAAGCGCAATGAAATGTAATGTGAAATTGTGAGATTTTTCTGGTATTGCTGTTTGCCATTCTCCCCAATATGATTTTCATTAAAAAAAATATATTAAAAAATTAATGCAATTATCAAAGATGTTTTAAAAACATTGCAAAATGAGAGCAAATATTCAACTCGGGCTGTTACAGCAATTTGCTGTGTGTGTGATTGCATTGTGTAATAGTCGAGATACAGAATCTGTCTATGTCCAACACCAATATACTTATGCTAGATGATCAACCTTTTCTGATCGATTAATCCCACAACGTTTCTTCCACAATACAATCGCATGACCAGAACTGGTCTATACCTCTACAAAAAAAAAAAGTTAACATTAATTTTTACCCTCTAATTTGTTTTTTTTTTTAAAGATGATGGGCCCCCATCCCTGGAAACAAAAGATGGTAGCCACAATTTTACTTTTTTTCTTTTACTCAACGGGGGGAGGGGGGTTGAGTAAAAAAAAAAAAAGCAATTGAGCCCCCACTCCAGGGCGGCGGAGGGACCTCATGCGTGTTCCCCAAATCTCTGTTAAAGGGGTACTTTTTCGCGCGACAAAGTCCGGCCCGTCATTGACTTTTACATCGGAGATAGGGGGGGGGGGGTGTGCTTTCGAAAAGAGGGAACATCCATGGGCGTACCCTGGATGGGGAGGGCAACTAAAAAGGTCATCCCCAACTTAGGGGTCAACATGGTCAGACCTTAGTTACCCTAGCTACCCAAGTTGCTTGGAAGAACTCACTGAATGTCACCTCGCCCCCACCTGTTAAAAAGTCTCGCTAAATATGCCATAGTTACACTGCCATGTACTTCCCAGTTCCAACGCCTATTATATATAGGCTATACAAGCAGGCCTAACATTCCTGTTTTTATCCGATATTTAAATAAATAAATGCACAATGAGTTGGCGCAAAATTTAAATCACAAACACCTTGCTCGATTTTCTCGATTAAATGTGTCAGGAAAATTTCAAATATTAACTATTAACTATACCCCCTTCCTCCTCCCCCGGTCCCCCCCCCCCCCCCCCCCCCCCCCCCCTCTCTCTCTCTCTCTCTCTATCTCCCTCCCCTCTTTCCCCTCTTACCCGCTCTCATGAACATTAGAGGGAGTTTTATCGTTAGCAATAACCCGACGAAACGACTAAAACATACCGTCAATATGTGATTTTAATGAACGAAATACTAAAAACTGATAAAACTTTCATTTCATTTAACTTGTTCTGAAAAAAATATCCATTTCATTCTGGATGTGTTGATACAAATAACATATGGCAACAGAAGTATTTTAATTTTACCGGCAATAACTATCATGTGCATAAATGACATACTTACTAAAGTATAATAAAGGATGGTTTACCGATTACATTTACAATTATGATAATTATATAACAATTAAAGCTTTTACATGTTTATAATATAAATGATTTTGATATTGCTATATCTATGTTTATGTGTTCCAAGGGTTTATGCCAAGGTCCATGCCATATATAATAAATTTACATTCAATTATGATATTCATTCTCATGAAACTCGTAATGCTGTATTTTTCATTTTCCTAAAGTCCGTACAAAAAGATTCCAAAAATACAGGTTTTTTCTCCACTGAAGGGCCAGTTTTATGGGAAAATGTCTTGTTTGATACCAAAAACTGTGGTTCAATGATTGTATGAATCCCTTCTTTTATCGTATTCAATCTCAAATGGTAAACTCTTGAGTAAAAAAAAACTTTGTAATGTATCCCCCCCATCCCATACAATTTTATTTGCTACTTCCATTTATATTTTTCTTGTAATCGATCTTTTATCTGTATAATGATGTATAATTATGATGTTTGTATGTTTAATTTTTTTTTATGGAGAATGAAATAAATAAAATGAAATGAATATTACTACCCATTTTAATTAAATACACCATGAAAATCACCCGCTCTAATTGTGTTGTATCTGTTTTGTTACATTTTAATTGTTTTCTAAACCAGTAAAACATATAATGTTGACAGTTACTATAGGCCTATATAATAGAAAATTTGATTTATATATCTAAGTTCCCCCTTTTTCGCTCTCTCTATCTATCTCTCTCTTTCTCTCTCTCTCACTCTCCCTCAAGATAAACTTGAGTTCTGGTTTAAAAAAATAAAAAAAATCTCACAGAATCAAACGAAACTTACACTGAATGTTTAAGATTACAAATAAATGTCATTTTCCAAACAATTTTGGTAGAAAATGTATACTGGCTGAGTAATGAGCATAGCAAGATAAGGAAATCAAGGTTAGTAGCCCCGACACCATTTTGTGTAGTCCGTTATACATTTATGTGTACAGTGCTTCATATAGGGCACAGTGCATTGCATAAGATCTGCAGGTTGTAAAGCGAAGGCCGCTCTTGGTGATTGAAAATAACTGTTATTGAGTAAACACTGGAATGTTGTCAAATTCCCCATAAGAACCCACCACTAAGAACCTTTAACATAATTGATGCAATCCTTCATCATGTTTCTGGTGAATGTTTTGAATAAAGAAGTGTATGACTTGAAATAAAAATAGACCTGACGAATAAAGTATTTACTGAAGAATCTAAATTCTCTTTATTCGCTTAATAAAAAAGAAACCCGTCATGATTATTATCACCATTACAATTCATTGTTAATGCAATTAATTTCAAATTTGCGTATACAAATGCCTTAATAGTGAAATCAACTGAGTAGCGCTCTATATCTATATCTATATACCTTTAGATGTACATGTATATAATGTGGTTTCATGAATTAAGACATTTACAACACTATATCTTTAAACAGGTTCACAATGTACCCCTCTGCAATATCTAAATGCTACACAATTATATTAATATCGTATCGAAATGGCTGCATCTTATCACTTATACAAACGGATGCTACGTATATTTTCGAATCGAGAGAGATAATAAGAAAATATAAAAACGAAATCTTATATTGCTTTCACAGTATTTTCATCATAATACATCATATGACCTTCGTTTAAGAATAAGAAAAAAACACTTTACAAACAGTAGTAACCTAATGGTAATAATAGCATAAATCCACAACAATCCATTAAATTAGATTCTTGCAAGATAGAGCAGAGCTTTGTTTTCTTGTTTTCATTTTTTTAGAAATTAACATAATTTTCCCGAGTCTACTCATTAAAAACGGATTGACATAATGTCTCGTTATCCACACAATCTGATGCATACCGTGCGTTCCCAAAAAAATTATACACTTTTGAAATGCCTGCCCAATAAAAAATATATGCTTCTGGGGGAAAATTTGTATATGTATGGAAAGCTCATAAACTCAACTTTCATATGACACTAACAAGTTTGAAAATAATTCATGCTTGGGTGAGCACTGCTCACTTTCTTAAAGGGTACGAAAATTAGGTTGCGCAGGAATTGGCCGTCCAATTTGTTAGAGGTAAATCCGGCTACTTATTCTTCAGGTAAATGGGTAACCTGAAGAATAAGAAGCCAACATCTGTGACATTCCCTTTTTCAACAAACCGTATTTGAATAATCAATTACATAATCCCCATCTGGTTATTAAGTAAATCAATGAGATGTTCAACTAATCTTACAATAACTGAAATGTGGGTTGAAGGTTTTTTATCCAAAGTCACAGATGTAAAAAATAACAGTTTATAACATGGAAATTATAACATGTATACCATCACCCCATCCTGACTCCCATGAACACGCCACTGATTCTACAAGGGAAAGTTACAATGCTACAATAAAAAAATGAAATTCCTGTTCACTTATGCATAAAAGTTTGGTTTAATACACCCTGAAATTCACTCAGCAAATCATGAATGTATCATATCACCCTCAATTTTGTAAGCTCCAAAGGATTTACCTCTCACAAATTGGAAGGCTAATTCCTGCGCAACCTAATTTTCATACCCTTTACAAAAGTGAGCAGTGCTCACCCAAGCATGAATTATTTTCGGACTTTCTGGTGTCATATGAAATTTGAGTTTATGAGTTTCCATACATATAAAACTTTTCCCCCAGAATCATACATTTTGTTATTCAGTAGCCATTTCAAAAGTGTATAGTTTTTTTGGGGGGACGCACGGTATAGTGTAACAACAATTTATAAAATATAAATGATTGTTTTGACTTATTTCTATGTTTTGATCTTGTTATCTTAACAACAATTTTGAGTAACATTTATAATCATTACTGTGTGAAAGTATTTGCAACAGAACACAATATATATTATATATATATCCCTCGATATAATGTACATATCTAATAAAAACAAGTAATGGCATTAAGATACATTTTGTTCAACAGCCTAATTGGTTTACAAGGCGCTGCGTTCAACTTCAGAACAACACAATAATTTATTTGAAATATCTTCCTTTACCGATACATCAAATCACTTGTACATGTATTTCAGATAAATGTCAATTATCATTTTGTATGCAATCTTGTGAATTAAATGGAAATATTTTTTGTTTCACTCAATGGGGTATATATTTTCCCCTCTTTCCTCTAAATCGTATGCAGTGGCAGCTCGATCGATTGTTTATTCTTATATTAGGGACGACCGACCCCTTTTAGCCGTTTGACCTAAGATATATTTGATAAGGTTGATATGAAATCAAAAAAATAACATTATTTTTCAGAATTAGCCCCCCCCCCCTAGAAACCCCCTCTACGTGCCGCACCATTGACTGAGAAAATAATTTCCACCCTTAGAGAATTTAGGAAGGCACGTGAAATGGTTACAGTTTCATTTGTATCTATATCAAGAAGTAAATTATCTCCACGACCTTTATCATTCCATCAGCCACTTTCAATACTGGATGTTGCATCAGTCTAAAGAAATGACCAGAGGTTATCAAAGAAGACCGACAGCCCACGAGACCAACATTGACACAAGATTCACGAGACCCATAACCCATTAGTCCGACAGCCTACGAGACTAACATTGACACAAGATTCACGAGACCCATAGCCCATTAGACTGACAGCCTCCGAGATCAACAGTGACACAAGATTCACGAGACCCATAGCCCATTAGACTGACAGCCTTCGATACCAACACTGACACAAGATTCACGAGACCCATAGCCCATTAGACTGACAGCCTTCGATACCAACACTGACACAAGATTCACGAGAACCATAGCCCATCAGACCGACAACCTACGAGACCAACATTGACACAAGATTCACGAGAACCATAGCCAATTAGACTGATAGCCAACCAGACCAACACTGAAACAAGATTCACGAGGCCCATAGTCCATTTTACTGACAGCCAATGAGACCGAAAAATCAAGAAAATACAATGGGAAAATATTATCCAAGAGAAAATTATGCTTAAAGGTCCATGGGACCGACAGCAGCAAGAATTTAAGACACCCCCCCCCCCCTAAAAAAAAAAATATACAAAGGGAACATAAAACATGTCGGTCATTATTGCTGTCGGCCTCGTGGGGAGTCGGTCTATTGGACACTAAACAATGATTTGTTAGGAGGCCCGCGAGTATGACGTTGACGGTCCATTGGACTGCCAGCCTCGTGGACTGAGATTGCATCAACAGATCTTAAATCTTTCTGCAGACAGATGTTTTTAGGATAAAGAGCGTGTTCTGCCAACAATATATGATTTGTACTACAAACTATAATAATTGAGCACTTTTACAGATACTGATTAGAGCGCTGATAAAACGAAAACAAATATCATTTATGTATATAGTATCTAGCAGGAAAAATAGTATATATCATTATAAAAAGATTGAGCATCATGTTAATAACAATATTTGAAAAGATAAGCAAATAATAATAACAATTGTCAAGCGATGGCTAAACATCATTACCTTACACGCGAGAGATTGGACCTTTGGTCTTATTGTCGGTAACCGTTGACATGAGGCTGATTTCCACTGCGTTAGTTTGATCTCCTGGTAAGTTGACTTGGCTGCCTTTGCTCGTTCTCTTTTCCCTACCATCGATGTACATGATGAAGGTATATAGGAAGGGATTGATGGATGAGTTGATGGGGACGATGAGGATCACTGTCCAGGCGTAGAGGGAAGGATCGAGGGTGACGGCACCAGTTTGAGAAAGGATGCCCATGATGATTACTGGCATCCAACAGGCGAGATCGGTAGCAACGAGCAGTGCCATACGAAAGGCCAATTTGATCTCTTGCTTATTGGATTTGGTGTTGAGGACTTTGGCCGATGACCGACTGACCTTGATGAAGATCAGGATGTAACAGACCAAGATGAAAGCGAAGGAAACCAAATTTAATCCAATGAAGATTATAATGGAGAATAACCATGGAGGTCTAAAACTTATGTTGGTGTTCTCGTAGTTAACTTGATACCCATCAATATAATCTCCGCTGAAAACCAGCATTCCTGTGTCCTGTTGATCAACATGGAGCGGAAGACCAAGGCACACGTTGGAAAGTCCGTAGACATCGGGTCTGTAGGATGTAACAATCACCAGTCCCAGACTTAACACTATGGTAAATGACCAGACTGCCCCGACGAGAATCAAGGACCCCTTGTATTGAATCTTAAGCTTCCCGAAGGGGAACATGATGCTAATGAACCTATCAACAGTGATCAAGGTCAAGGTAAGGACCGATGCCTCACTCGAGAGAAAGCCGATGAAACCAGCAAATCGACACATGTGGGAACCCCGCCATTGAGGAGCACTGAGATAGAACTCATCACCATAGTAAACATCAGCAGAAGTGATGGTGATCATGTACAGTCCCATCATAATATCAGCCATTGCTAAGCTACCAATCATGGTGTTCTGAACCGTAGATCTTTGCTTCTTCCTATCACGTAGCCGAACAAAGAGAACGACCCCGTTACCGCCCAAAGCCAGCAACCCCATGACCCATCCTGCAATCCTCAAGGCCCAGTTTGGATAGAGCCTGTTACATGTGTCCAATTGACTCGTCTGTGCTGTCCTAGCGCAGGTGACGTTCACGTTGTTGTTTAGAAGACAACACAGGCGATTATCAGATGTAGACCTGGATGATAAGAGAAAATAGTAGTGAAATAGCTGTTCTATAAGGGGTCTGGGGGCTCAAGCCCCTCCCCAGAATGATATAAATGGATTTAAGGAAGCACTTGTAGAAACAAAAATGCATGAACCGCAACAAAATCCCCCCCCCCCCATGCATTCATAATCTAAAACCGCGCCTGGGATAGTCTTGATTACATGTTGCATACTTCTAACGAAAAGTCCTTTATTCCTTTCTGTGATTGGAAATGAAATCTAATGATTTAAGTCCTACGTCGCCTATGCTCAGCTTTTTAGAGATATAATTGATGCCTAATTCACATCGATGATGAAATACCTCGCTACAAAGACTATTCACATTTACTTGAAAGATAGCAACGATAGTTAGAAATGTGAGGCAAACTATTTCTTTTTATCTGTTTATGTAGATTTAGTGCATTTCGTTTAACCCGATGCAAATGCCATCGGGTTGTAGTCATCAGCTCTAGAAAAGAAGGACAATGACAGAAAATAACAAAAATAAGAACTGAAATGAAGAAGTTTCCTTACATTTTCTCTATTGATGTGAGACCAGTAAGTGCATTAAGATCGATAGCTCCCAATTCAGAATCATGGAAGAACCTGTTTCCAGAGAGAGTAAAACAAGAACTGTTAATGGGGCATAATTCGTATATTTCTACATTCTAAATTGTAGAGTTTCAACCGATTTCAACCAGATTCAACCAATTGCTTCTGAAAATAGTGCTTGTGAACTGTTAGTAGCAGCGTGTCTACAAACGCTTACTTATCTTGATCAATTTCACAACGGATAAACCATTCATTATCTAACAGTAAGAGACATAACTGATTGCTAACAAGCGGATAAACTGATTGTTTAACAACAGTGGCGTAGACAGGTTCGTACACCTGGGGGGATGACTCAGGGGCGGATCTAGCTTTTTGCCAAGGGGGGGGGGGTTGACCAATAATGACGATGCAGTGCATCGTCCACGAGCCGCGAAGCGGCGAGCCAATTTTTTGGGGGGTGTTTATTTGAACCCCGTAAGTGATGTTTTCCTGGCATCTATTAACAAAATGGAGACCATAAAAAGCAGTGCATGATAACGTCTTTTTAAATCAAGTAACAGTTAAATACACAGTTATATCCAGAGTTATCATGCGTTTGGTTAAGTTACCAGATGAGTTGAATATCTTCTCACAATATTTGCACTTGAAAGGGTTTCTCTCCAGCGTGCGTTCTTTTTTCTTTCTTTTTTTTTTTTTTTTTCTTCTTTCCACCCCCTTTTTTTTTGGGTTTGTTTTTTTGGGCCGCCCAAGGGGGGGGGGGGTTGAAACCACCTAAACCCCCCCCCCCGTAGATCCGCGCCTGTTTAATCTTGTGGTTATCTTGTGGTTTGGAAACCACAAAATACTTGTAAGATTTTCTTTTTTTTTACCGTCTGAATTGGCTTTCACCGTGTGAATGCGGCTAATAACAATAAACACAATTACAATAATGATGAGGATTATTATTATCATCATCATAATTATTATTATTTTTTATTTTCCAAATTTTTATTGATTTTCCAAATTTTTTGTAACATTACAAAAACAACAATCATACAAGAATAAAATAATTGTATAACATTAAAAGAACAATAATCAAATACGAATCACTGTAAACAAACAAACAGACCTGATGTAAAAACTAAAAAATCAGTCTCGGGTGGTTTGAACTGTATTATCAAAATATAATTATGGATAATTAAAATAAATTCTCAATAGGGGACCATTTTCTATAGTGCATGTTTTCTTTGTGCTTTTGTTTAGCAATTACCAATTCTATATGTCTGATTTTGCAAATGAACGTTTCAAAACCTATGAAACTTACTACTAAATTCCTGCATATCTGAATATAAATGTATCTCTTCAATAAGATAATTAAGTGATTTAATAATATTTTATGTGGTCCCTTCCAATCCTTTATGAATCCAAACATCATTCTTTTCCTAGATAGATCCTCATATCTGACAGATAGCTTTAGACTAATTTTATCAACAAAAGCTCGTCTTAAATCTTCAGCAACCTTACACTCATAAAAAAAAATGTAAAGGAGTTTCAACAGAGGTCTCGCACAATGTGCAAAGTTCTGTCTGAACTTGCTTCATTTTAAATAGTCTCTCATTGGTGTATAGAATATTATGCAAAATTTTAAACTGGAAGACTCTCATCTTAACTTCTATTGTGCATTTAAATGGGAGTAGATACATTTGTGGCCATTCCTCCTCTTCTATCCCATATTTAGTGGAAAATAGGTTTCACAGACAGGTCTACATGTCAATTTACTAACATAATCAACATAAATATTTCTAGTTTTTAGTTTTTGAATTTCTACTGTCAAAAGGTCAGACTGATCATGTTCATTATCTATTTTCTCCAAGAACATTTGTATCAATAATTGATTAAATGAACTTCCCCATTTCTTCCTGACTAGCGATACTATTGCCAAATATATCATGTAGTATTTACCTGGTACTCCTCTTGCTTTCCAAAGATTAAATTGCACAATGTTTCCATAATTATTATTATTATTAATATTATAATTGTTATCATTATTATTATTACTATTATTATAATCATTATGACTTATTAAGGAAGCAAATATCATTCCCCAAAACCTGGGGGGGGGGATGATTGTACATGCCATCCCCCCCTTGTGAGGTGGGGGGATGCATCCCCCTCATCCCCCCCGTTGTCTACGCCCCTGTTTAACAATAAGTGTTTAATTTACCTGCGTTTTAAGTTTTTGAATACTAACACCTAAACATGTATGTGTTAAACTAACAAGAGCATCTATTTGGATTTTTGGGACAAAAACATGTTAGTAAACAAAAGCTAATTTGTCTCTGTGTACTACTAATACTATTACTTCTACTAAGAATAATTTTGTTTGCCCAGGGGAGAATCATCAGGAACAATAGTGTCCACCCTGAAGGCCCTGTAATCATTATAACCCTAGCGATTGCTATAGGTACCCATTTATAGGCCTACCAGGATGGAGAGTGGCAAACGTGGATTAATGTCTCGCCAATGGACGTTATGCGGTGGTCACAATCCGCCGTACTTGCAAGTGCGTGCTGTCTATGTGCAAAAAAAGGAAAAATTTGGGTATCCGTACGTGTAAGTACGGCCTCCGTACGATAACGTGGCAACCGCACGGAGACCGTATGTTGTAAGCACGTTGTAAGCACGTACAACGCACTTACCACATGCGCAACGTACGATGCACGCAACCGCTCACGGCCAGGCGTGGCGTTCGGGTATGGAAGGCCATCCCCGCCATAAACTTAACTAGTAACGTAACCAATAAGGAAACACTAACGTACACTTAGTATCCAATGATTTTACAGAGTAGCGCTTGCGTTACTAAACAGTTACGTTAGTCAAATGATGAAGAGCTTACGTATACTCATTCTAGGGATTATTTTACCTACGTAAGCTCTTTAGTTTTCATTAACGCAACTGTCTAAGTAATTCAGTAGCGTAAGTAAAACACACTACCGTTAGTTTAATGTTGACCAATCATACCCATCGTTGCATGCCATAGAAACACACACCGATCTTTTTTTCTATAGCTAGAGCTAGAGCTAGCTAGAGATCGGTGATACCATGGTGATTCAGTCGTGATCGTAGACATAGGCTTAAGAACCGGGGAGGGGGGCTTGCGGGGGCACAGCCCCCCAATGAAAAATCTTGGGGGGGGGGGGGCTCAGATATCATTGAACCTAGTCGCCCAATATTTTTGGCGGGGCTTATAGATATCATTGAGCCCCCAATTTTGTGGTGGGCTTAGATATCATTGAGTCCTTAGGGGCGCAGATACCATTGAGCCCCCACTATTTTAAGTGGGGCTCACATATCATTGAGCCGCATCCAATACTTATTGCGGGGCTCGGATATCATTAACCCCCACCTCCCCTATCATTATATTCTAGGCATGAAACTCATGTATACCTATAATCTACAGACTTACCATTCAAATATAAACATTTTATAAATATTTATTGGGGAGGGGGGGGGGGGGGGCTCAGACATCGGATCTCGCATAACATTGACCCCCCATCAATATATATATCTCGGATATAATTGAGACCCCCAAATATTTTCTTGGCGGGACTCTGATATCATTGAGCACCCCCTCCCCATATTTTGGTGGGGCTAAGATATCCTTGAGCCCCCCCCCCCCCCATATTTTGGAGGGACTCAGATATCATCAGCCCCCCCCCCCCCAATTATTGTTGGTGGGGCTCGGATAATATCACGGAGCCCCCGATATTTTTGTGGGGCTCGGATAACATCACGGAGCCCCCTGATATTTTTGAGGGGCTCGGATATCATCGAGCCCCCCCCCCCCCCCCCCCTCCCAATATTTTGTTCGGGCTCGGATAGGCTATCATTGATCCCGCCCTCCCCAAATATATTTGCACACTTATGTTCTGGGCTAGAAGCTTTATGCGTTTCTATAATTTACAGATCGACTTAGTATTCAAATTATTATTAAAACTGACAGTTTATAAATATTGGGAGATTGATTGAGGGGGGCTTATAGCCTTGCATTGCATTGGAGTAAGATCATCACAGGCACATCTTCATCTCCCCGGACTTCATCAAGTAATTTTTTTAAAAATAATTCATTGCCCTTTTTTAATCAGATCTGATGTAGGCGGAATGATATCGTATGATTTGTTCTTTATAGTGGTCAGAAAAAAATATCATTCCATTAACCGCGATTCATTCATTGGATGTGGGTTATGACTGTCTAACGTTACTATTGCCAACAAAACTTTGTTTCCAGGAACACAAGAAGAGAAAACTTCTTTGGCACATTTGTCTGAGGCTGCATGTGAAAGCTCCTCAAAGGAAGAAAAGTCTGAAATTTGTTCGCTGCGATGACATAGACGAGGAACAAACAATTTATTTCCAGGTGCAAATTAAAGACGAAGGAGGATCTCAGAATTTTATTTTTTGGGCGGTGCCACATTTCAGTTTTTTAAATATGTCCGATTATAGGCATGTGTGATAATAAAAGTTTTGTTTTTCTCGTTCCTAGCGTATTATTTTTTCCAAAGGTGTTAAATGTGTGTTATTTTAACACCTATTACTTTGTTTAACTTAATATAAAAAATCTGAATATCTTACAATTCAACGATTTCTTCAAGTAGGCCTACTTTTATTAATTTCTTCAACTGAAAAGGAGTCGAGAAAGGTACAACGAATCGTCTTCTTTCGCTAGTAATACATCAAAGCTTCCGCGCTTCGCGCAGGAGGAGAGGAATGAATTCAGACAAGGATTAAGAGTCGAGAAAGGTACAACGAATCGTCTTCTTTTGCTAATAATTTAATGAAACTTCAAAGTTTTCGCGCTTCGTGCTGGAGGTGGAGGAAACTGACATCAGATAAGGATTAAGATTCGAGAACGGTACATCGAATCGTCTTCTTTCTCTAATAAATTAATGAAACGTCAAAGCTTCCGCGATTCGCGCGGCGGGGGGGGGGGCTGATTACAGATAAGGATCAAGAGTCGAGAAAGGTCCAACGAATCGTCTTCTTTGTCTAATAATACGTCAAAGCTTCCGCGCTTC